AAGCCCAGTTCTATAATCCCGAAAACTCCGGTCACTGTACCATGGTGCTTCAGGCTATTAACAGATTGAGTTCCTTAAAAATACCTATCGGGTATAAGATATTAAATCATAAAGATGAATTTTAAGTAACAAATATTATTTTATTGTTTTTAATGAACTGTGTACAACTTAGATATATTTGCCATATACACCATTCCTATATATTCATTTTGTCATAACTTGATTTCAATTTTTCTAATGGAGAGGAAAAAGCAGAAAAGATAACTACACTGTATTTAAGGTCCAAGAACTACCACTCTGGGTCAAATTTTTCCCCCAGTTAATCTTTAAATCCAATGAACTACCAATAACTTGTCTATTCTCACAGAACTTATGTATCTCTCAAAATTAAAAATTACAAATGGCCTATGGTTTTCCTGAATCAAAAAAAACTAGTCTCTGATTAGAACCTCTAAATGTCACTAGTCCCCTGAATTCAAAAGGTAACAAGTCTCAATAAAAGCATCATAATTTGCCCTCAGCAGTATGTATAGATTTGGTGTATTATGAGCTTCTCCCTCTTAGATTTTTCACGTAACTAAGTCATCCACCAAGATTCTGTCTGAAGAAGTCTAGATATTTAACAAAAAGAAACTACTACCAGATCATCTTTATTTTCCTCAACAAAATACACACAAGAGCACAAAATTCACTTATAATATCATTATTTTACAAGTATAAATAATGCTCAGAATTCAAGTTACAGTCAAGTGTAGAAATATTTCCTATATGTTATTATGTAAACATAAGCTAATTATATACATTATGTGCCTTTGGCCCAGCTGCAAAATAAGGTACCTCAAAAAAAAACACCGCACTTGACTGTTCAATTGCATTCTTACTGAGAATTCGTATCAATGCCTATATGGTTACAGTTAAAATTTTCATACTGCTTAATGTAAATGCCTTAGACACTTTTCCCCCTGGCAAATATCTTGAGAGTAAAAGTTCTATCCATTTTTAATGATGAAGTGTTAAAAATCTTCCATTTCATTCCTTAAAACAAACACTATTAGAACTCATTCCTAACCAAAGTTCTTCCTATGTCAAAATGGATATTATTTACAGTCACACATACAGAAAACAAGAATGCTATCATGTTTACTTTTAGAATGCAAAAAAATTCTAAATGCTGTCTAAACAGTGTGGGTCTTTGTACATTCAAAAGGATCTTACTTTACTGATATCGCTTGCTTTTAGTTTTAATACCTAGTAGATACAATTTTGACATATTGAAATAGCTAGGCAATGAGAATTCAAATGATATCAAGCATATTCTTGGGGGGAGGGGAAGCACCACCTAAAAAGCAAAAACTGACATCAACAAAATTACAAACATCCAGTTGAAGGCACATGGAAGCATTTACTACATTGCCATCAAAGATTCCCCACTTAGTTCAGGATTAGGGACAGAGTCAGGAATAGAGTCAGCTTTGGGAGCTGTTGATTTGGCCCCGTTCCCTGAACTTTCCTCATTCCCAGCCTCTTTTTGCTTCTCCGCCGGTTCCTCTGTGTCAGATGCTTTTTCAGTCACTTCATCTGTCTGCTCGGTATCTGTTATTTTGTCCTCTGTCTGCTCTGTAGTGTTATCAAAAGCATCTTGTTCTGCTAAACATTCTGAAAAGACAAAGAGTCAAGACTTCAGGAATACCCAAATGTTAAAATTGCTAACTGGTATGAATGAAGGAAAAGAACAATTTGGGGGAAACAAATCCATAAACATGCATTTATCTAAAGCCCTATATTTTCATAAAATTTAGTAACTTTCATAATATTTAGTTTTCCTAAAGATGCATTTGAAAGTTGAACGGCCAAAGCAAGCTCCAACAGAATTATGTGCTGTAAGACAACAGCCCAGCAAACAAAGCAAGTGTATCAGCTCTCAGACGATGTTTCCTGAAGGAACCGTCTCCCTTGTGCCCAGGCGACCCTGGCAGCAGTGTGTAAATGTGTACCTTTGCGTGTATGTAGGCGGTGCTATTTCCCAGACTAATTTACATCTCTATTATCAAAGGACTTAGAGGTCAGGATCCACCTTTTCCAAAGGCATGACAAGTCTCCCTTCATCCCTCTGTGTAAGACAAATCCTCGGGATTTAAACCTCTGGGTCAGAATACACTACATACCTACAAGGGTAGGGAGAAAAGGGGAGGGGTCTTTTTCCTTGTCTCTATAATGGAAACTAATTGAAGGTCTTGTTCCCTACCTGAAAATTGTTCCTTTTAAACTCTCTTTTCAATTTCATTAAATTCAAATCCCTTAATAATTTAATAATAATAATTTTATTATATAAAGTCCCTATAATTCTTTTTTTTCTTTTTTCTTTTTTAAATATATCTTTATTGATTTCAGAGAGAGGAAAGGAGAGGGAGAGAGTTAGAAACATCAATGATGAGAGAGTCATTGATCGAGCCCACAACCTGGGCATGTGCCCTGACCGGGAATCGAACCCCAATGGCCTGGATCCTAGGTTGACGCTCAACCGCTGAGCCACGCCCGGCTGGGCAGTCCCTATAATTCTTTAATGTTTAAAGAATGGGGTGGGGAGGGAATGACAGCAGCAGTTTTGTTTTGTAATAAATAGCAACTAATATTCTTGCTAGGAAAATATGGTTAAACCACATCAGCTAAACAAATAAGCAGATTTTCCTACCCTCATAAAAGATCCCTTATGATATACTACAAATGTTGCTGATTCAAAATTTCTGGAGAAAAGGCCAGTCTACATTAGTATAAAGTTCTAGTTTAGTTCCTTATATAGTACAATATGTGTATGTGTGTGTGTGTTTTGCTAAATAAATTTAATAGTTTTACAAAGAAATTATATGCTATATATACACGTTAACATGGAAGTTTTATAAATTCATGATTTTACCATATCAATTTTAAAACAAATATCTCACGCACTCTATGCCAAGACTGAAAATATTTTAAAAGAATTATTTCTATAAACAGATATTTTAGACTCTAGTTTACAGAACTGCAAATTTTCCCCCCGATGAAGGGCCAAAATTATACAGTTAGGAATATCCAAGTTAATGAGGTTTTACTGGATGAAAATTTCATTTAATCACAAAAAGTAGTAAGGAATGGTCCTCAAATCAGATTGTGCCAAATGTCACAACAATGTTATTTTTATCTCAAAAGGAACTTAAAATGGCATTGCTACGCCACTTTAAATCTTACAAAAATCCAAGGTAAAAAGCCGAAGACCATTTGAGTTTGTTATTTGAATGTTCCAGTGCACAGAGGAAAAGCAGAAAGTGCAACTGAAATTCTATGGACATGTACAGATCATTTCTGCTCCATTGGCAAGTAAGTTCCTCAACAGGAAACTTCAGCAGTTACCAACCATTTGTAACTCTGCCCTCACAGAATTTATCCAGGATAGAATTTTAAATCATAGTCTTCCACAACTCTCTGGCCATAGAAAAATACTTCCTTGCCAAGAACTTTACAATTTGTTATAATTTAGTAAGCCTTCTGAAACAAACCGATAAAGCCTAACAAAATGGAAAAAAAAAAGAAAAAAAAAGCACAACATCCACGAATTAACTCATCAATAAATGTGTTTAAGTGGACATAGGCCCACACAGTTTGTCATACTCTGTCAGACAGACTGCCTCAGTGCTGAACAGGAGAGGTATCAAAGTCCATGGTCTATCATATTAAAGCTCTGTGATATAACTATTTTTAGAAACACATCACTACTCAAATCCATTTAAAATTCTTGAATTTTTAAAATGCAGTTAAGTACAAAGAGCAGAACTACCATACTTAAAATTTTAAATGTCTATAAAGGTGAATTCTAAGAAGTATCATGTGCTGGTATAATTAGAAAACGGTATTATATACAAAGCTGGGTCATCAATACTGTGTTGTATTTCAGAAAATACATGGAAGACTAAAAATCAGTAAAATGATAGGTAGTGCTTAAAAATAATCAAAAAGCCTATTAATGACTACTTCTCTTCTTCCAGGTTAATTTGCAGAAAACTAATTTTAATAGCAGTGACTACAAAAAACTGGCATGTGCCATGATGCCTATAATGCAGGTATAGACTAGTCTAAATTACATAGATTTTCAATGTTTGGATGCCAATGTTATTTTGTGAGAAGTCATCTAAACAAGATTTAAGTGAACTAGGTGTACAAGAATAGAGAAATACTTAGCAGCTTAATAACTAACCACAGAGCTTTATAATATCACTGAGTGTATTTCTATGGACCAGTATCATTTGCCTAGTCTAATAAAAACAATAATTTTTTTCTGGGAAGTTGTAATTTAATGAGAGGTAAATTTTGGGCATAAAATACTAAGAGAAATCAGCCTTTGGGGTCACACCAGTTTAGAATAAAAATGAAACAAAATTACCTGAACGATCTAATTCCATTGGTAAGAAAATTTTAAAAATCAACTTTTGCCCCGCTGGAGTAGCTCAGTTGGTTGAGCATCGTCCCGTGCACCGAAAGGCTGCAGGGTTGATTCCTGGTCAGGGCACATGCCTGGGTTGCTGCTTTGATCCTTAGTCGGGGAACTTACAGAAGACAACCAATTAATGTCTCTCTCTCTCTTTCTCCCCACCCCCCAGCATGTGCTCAGGTAAGGATTTAAAAAAGAAAAAAATCAACTTTGGCATCTGTAATGCCAAGAAAACAATATATTGCAATGTGAATTGTCAAAATTGGCTCCCAATTGTTTGGGGAAAGTCTCAACTATACAACTCAAAATCACAAAACAGTATAATTGTAAAACTAATACTACTACCTCACCTATAAACCATACACATGCAAGAACATCAACTTACCTTTTGACTTTTAGTCTAGTTCTTAAGAGAATAATTTTCTAAGAAAATTAAAAAATAGTCTAGCAAAACTAGACTAAATATATGAAATTTTCACAGAAAAATACATGATTCTATTTAGATTATGTCTTTAAAAACCCCCCATATTTTGGTGAATTCATTTAGATTCTTTATATTTTATTCTTTTTACAATAACAAAACAAAAAAATCTGCCTTGCTAACACATCAATACTCACTATAGACTATAAAACTTGCCCAAAGGAAATTTGTTAAAATAGACAATTTGTCTTTGAACTTATTTAAACAAAGAAGTTTTTACAAGATTTTTCTGTCTTAAGGAAAATGGCCAACTTATTTTAAGGAACAAAGATCCCAAACTCAACCCAGTGGCTCAATGAATGAACTTCAATTAAATAATAACCACCTAGGAGAAAATAGCTCATATACAGTACGCACTGAAGTAGCTCATATTCAGTAAATACTGTTTATTTACCATTGGTGAACAAATCCATTAGATGAGTAAGAATGTCATTATTAAGTAATGATATAAAACTATTCAGTGAAAGTATTTTAAAAAAGGGAAACTGAAAGCCAAAAGATCTCTATGTCTAAAATAAGCATACTAAAACATACTACAGTTAAGTTTACATCTTGAGTAAACTGTATATAATTAAATATAAATAAAGGTATAAGCTTTTTAGATCTAGTAAATATACAGAATCAACAAAATTTACATTATCAGTTTAATATCCTAGAGTATCATAACAATACTACAAACAGAATTTTCCCTAGTTCAACATAATCTAATAGTAATAGTATAGTGCTTAAAAGAAAGGAAGAGAAGAACAGAAATCAGATTACCAAGATAAATTTCACCTTACATAAATTTTACTTTTGATTTTTTATTGTATTCATTAGATGCCATGGGTTTTATTATTAGCAAGTTATTTCCAGTTGAATAAATACTATTTCTCCTAAAATAATTACATAAAATCTAGACAAATACAACTGAGCAATGAAAACAATAATATTAATGTTTTTCAAACATGCTAGCCTAAAATCACTGTACTAGTATACTAACAATGTAGAAACCTCATACTCTCTTACCCTAACAAAAAAATGCTATCAGGAATTTTAGAATGCTTTTTTTAAAAAAAAAAAAAATCAAAACTGATAGACTACTTTAATGTGCTTAGCAAAGACTGAAGTATTACTGTACTATTCATTTAACCATAAAAGAAATGGAGGAACCTAAAGCAGTTCATTACTTTAGCATACTATAGTCCTAATTTCTTGTGTTTCTCTAATACTCTACTACCAAAGCATTTTCTATACACAATTCTAGAAAAAAATTCTAGGAATTCAAATGAGCAATTAATGGGAAAAGTTTCTTCTAGGTCTCCTTCTTTGATGAAAACGTTCCAAGATTTCATGTTATTCTAAAGAATAGTCCAAAAATGTCAAAAGCCTTGTGCCTCATCCTAAATGCAAAATCTTCCAGTAGCAGAATCAAGATAAAACTTAATTTCAAAGTCTCACATCAGATTTTTTAAAAAGTGTCTATTAATTCTAAATTATTCATATAAATGGTTTTATAATATTCGTTGAAAGAAAAATTCAGATGGAAGAAAGTTACTTTTTCATTCCCTCTGTAAATTCAACAACCTAATTTCTACAGCTTTTTCTGCCATCAAGGAGCTATTCCAATACTTAAAAAATATAAAAATTATATAGCAGAAAAAAATTTTTTTCAGACCTTAGGGTTCTTCTATGAGAATATAGAAAATCAGAAATCTAAGTCCTCAATTACATTGGCTGTCAGCACAAGTGAGTAGATGATTGAGATGATATGATCTTACTTAATAGTTTAATTTAATCATAAAGGTATGCCTCCGGTGTTGAAAACAAATGCAGCTTCTCTGTTCATCAGAAATAGTTCCAGTCGTTTACTAAAGGAATCCAGCTTGGAATTGATAACTGTATATCATAGTGTTGAAAGGGGAGTCTTGGAGAAAAGTTCAGTCTTCTGGAAAGCCAAAGAAGTAAAAGGTGCTCATAGCCATTTTAATAAATCCGAAGAGAATATGAAAAAGTTACTGCTCTAAAGACTAAATACAAGTGTTGCTTCAGTTTCTAGCACTATGAAGTTCTATGCCTCAAGTTCTGTCTTCACCTATTAATATTACCTTATTAGGGTTGATTATGAGCCAGTTAGACTTCATTCCGGAGATTTCAGACAGAAAATGAGACATCTGGGGTATTGCTCCTCCTAGATTAGATGAGAAGGAAAGGTGTAGCTGGGTGTTGTTTGCTAACTATCTATATTGACCTTAGCAGAAGATACAAAGCATTGGATTCATTATCAAGATTTGTATTTTGTTTCCTGATTTTCCTTTTTCTTTTTGTCCCAACTATTGGCTTTCGAATATTCACTTTAGCTTTCATAAGCAAGGTTACTCATGGAAAGGACGTCAATTTTTCCTCTAGACATCTTCAATATGAAATTCTTTCATTTTTCAGTTCCAAGAGGCTGCAATGGCAAGGGAGATGGTTTGCATGTGACGGCATGCAGCTCAGAGCATGACTTAAGCAAAAGAAAAATCTGATATTGTGTTTGGAGTTGATGTTGCAGACTTGGAGAAGACGAATGCTTTGATTCACTTTTGGAAGTAGCAGGCCTCTTGTCATGGCTATCTGTATTCAAATTCACTTTGGTAATTGTTAGTAAGTCCAAACTAAGCCCAAGTCAACACATGTATTTTACTCTTCAAAGTTAAAGAAAGAAAAAAAGAGATACACAAATTTTCATAATAAACTTCTGACATCTGAAAATTCATTGTCCCATATTTTTCTCAGTTAAAGCAATTTTCCCCTACTCAATACTTTTATAAAGAAAAAGTCAAATACATGTAAATAACAATTCCTAGAAATTAAAAGGATGAATATTGACTGCTAAGTTAACTCTGTGAACTAAACTTCCAATATGGATTTTGTTTTTCTATATCAGGCATAGCACCGAAATACCATGGCCTGTGTCATAATTTTAGCAATCTTCACAATTCAGAGCTGCTGAACAAACAGCTCCTCACCTCGTATTAACAGCAAGAAATAGTTGGCAATTAATAGTCAGATCTTCCAACTCATCTTTTCCATTTTTTCATGGAACTTCCTCAAGAATTCCTAAAACAGAATTGTAAGATAAGGTCTAAAACCCAATGAATTCCAATAAATTCTGTTACTCTAAAATAAGGTTGTTTATATCAAGGCATGTGTCAGCAATGTTAGTCTCATGGACCAAGATAAATTGTTTGTTTCAAAGGAATACCAGTCCTATCAACACAGTCACCTAAAGGATACAAGGATGGCTTTCCAATTCCAAAGTTGCCTGCTTTCTGGTACTTCTACTACTTCAAGTGGTAAGCACAAAACTATTACATCAATGTTAATTACAAATCTGTAAGAATTTTACCCTTATAGTTATTTTACAATTCTCATAATGTTCTTCATTTAAATAAATTGAAAAATTATTCCAAAAAAACATTACTGGTCAAATTGATAGGGGCACTTATAATTTCCAAAGATTGAACACCTGAATTAATCTGAAATATAATTATATTACTTATAAAATTGTAGAACACATATACTTATGTAAGCAGGGATTTAAGTTTTTTTCCCTTAGGCTTCTTTCTCCTAGGCCTTTGCACCCTGCACTCCCCTTGATCCTGGACTAAAGCAATTAAGGAGGTGGAGCAGCTGTGAACAATGGGTTAAGATATCACCATATCAAGACCAAGATGCATGGCCAGGCTGACCTAACAATGAGTCAAGATATTACCTTATTGAGACATCGCCAGTCGACCAAGATCAAAAGAATGACTTCCACCAGGACTGCACATAGCTGCATTCCATTTCCAGTCGGTTTGCCCCATATAACCCTATCCCTCAGGCCACTCCTTAACACAGGTTTTGGATGCTCATATGCGCCTTGTCTTCTTGGTTGGCCAGACTTCTCAATAAATGCCTTATGTGATTCAACCCTGCCTCCATTGAACTGGATACAGCGACAGGAAGCCTGAGCCCAACCAGGGTTTCCCGGTAACAAAATCTTCCAACAGCTATTAGAAAAGGTCACTCCATAAACAATGTTTACCTAGTTATTGCTGGATGCTACTTAACAAGATATAACCTATATTTTAAAATAAAAACACATCATACCAATCACACAGGAGGTTACATTATCAGAGAGAGAGAGAGATGATACATGGATGCGGCAAAATCTGATAAATCCATTCTTGTTTAAAAGCATTATGCTATTATTGTTAAATAGCAAGCATTATTAAGAGATAAAACTTTTTAATTAACATATTCATACCTTCACTTATCTGGTTTTCTGATGAAATCACACTTCCTGAGGACAAGAGACCAACTGAACTTGAGCCTTCCACAGCCTGCCTCTTCTCAAAACTAAACTCTGGAAGTCTTGGAGCCTGAGGTCTGGTTTTTCTTGCAGGATTCAAGAAAAAACAGTAGGCACACCGAAAAGCTGCAGAGAATTTTTAAAAAATAAAATAAAACCACAAACCAAAGAAAACTCAAGGACTAATCAGATAACTCTCAAGATTACTTTTGCAAATAGTCAAAGAAGTCTTCAAAAGTTATTTATCCCTCGTGAAATATATGGTTTTAGTAATATTACTGCAGGTGTTCCAACCAAGGCTAATTTTAAAGCATACTTTCTAATTATTATTAGAATATTAATTTTAAAACAGAAGAGATAAGTTATATATCGGGGTAACTAATAATAGCAAAACAATATTAATAATGACCTTAATGTATTACAGAAATTACATTTCTACTCACCAGAATAATTAGATATTTTTAAACCCAGAACCTCACTCATTTGCCCAAGAAAATGTAGTCATGTCATATATGAAAAATATAATTAATTTAGTGCAATATTTTTTAATAGTGGCTACTCATGAGAATCATTTGAGAAGCTTTAAAACCATGCTGATGGCCCAGCCGGCATGGCTCAGCGGTTGAGCATCAACCAATGATCCAGGAGATCACAGTTTGATTCCCGGTCAGGGCACATGCCCAGGCTGTGGGCTTGATTCCCAGCAGGGGGTGTATAGGAGGCAGCCGATCAATGACTCTTATCATTGATGTTTCTATCTCTCTCGTTCTCTCCCTTCCTCTCTCTGAAATCAATAAAAAATATATTAAAAATAAAAAACCTCGCTGATGTCCAGAACCCTAGCCCCGATCAATTAAAGCAGACTTTCTGTAGGTGGGCCCTGGACATCATAATTTTTAAAAGCTATTCAAGTGATTCTGATGCACAATGAAGTTTGAGAACAGCTGCCGTAGAGATTGTACATTGTGAGAAAAATATCTCTGCTGTCTTTCCTGCTCTGCTCTGAATTCTAAAATAAGGACAATATGCCTCAACAATATATATAGAAACAGTACCGAAAACAAAATGACATTACATGGAAACTGGCATGAAATGAAATATTTGAGTAAAATATTTAAATCAAACTGCCCAATTATTCTTACCAATGTATTCAAACTCTTCTTTCAAAGCCATGCCATTATGAGAAAAACACTGCTGACATATAAGGGCATACCTATTCCAATAGAAAAAATAAATAGACTAGTTACAAATGCAAACAAAGCCCATGGGAGAGGCTACTTTAGTCATCATAGCTAATTTAAATTTTAACATAGCTAAATATATCATAAAAGATTAGATGTTCTTAGTAAACAATAAACAATACTCTTTAAACATAATAGCCAAAATTTCAACTATTTTAAAATATAATTTATACATCAAATTAAACAAACAACTAAGCAACAGTCAAATGAATATATCTTTATTAAGTTAGCAGAAACATTTCAGTGTTTCCTAAAGTACATTCCTGGGGATGATAGACCCCTAGAGTGTGTGGTCAGATAAGATTGGAAAAAATGCAACCTCTTAGAGATTCACAGTGAGAAGTCTTGCAGTAAATAATTTTGTTTAGTTCAGTACAAAGGTTAATTTCTGTAAATCATAATTCCTATATTTATCCCAGTTACACTTAAACATCTTCCTCCCTTTCTATTTATAGACTCAGTCTATTCTCTGTGTATGTACTTAACAAAATATTTGGCCCTATTCAACGACATTCTATTTTGAATAATACACAATTTATTACATTAGCTTTAAATTCTAGTCCCTTTATTAAATTGATAATACTAGCCAATAACCTTGTCAAATAACTACTCTACTATTCTAAAAAAAGTCTATACTATGACAATTGCTTTGCTCACCTCATAACTATCTTCCAAAAATTGTAAAGATCAAATAAGATGATAACTGAAAGAACATTTTGAGTGCCAAGTACATGTAAATTGTCCTCACTGTTATTAAAATTATCACCATCACCAAGTCCAGTACTAGCATCTATAAAACTCTATTTCTTACAACCTACCAAGTTTTCACTATCTGTATGCTCTTCAAGTTTAAAAGTTTAGTGAAATGAATCAATTTCTCTAAAAATAACTTTAAAGTAGGATTATAATATAGTAAGGCTGCAATATTTTTTGTTATATATATATAAACTTTTCTATATTTTACCTAAATACTTTACCCAAACTCCTACTGAAAAAAAAACAATTGAATATGTACTCTTTTTGCAGGGCTATAACGTACTCCATTATATTTTAAAATAAGGTAAACAGGAGCCACAAAACTATAGAAATCCAGTGCAGGCACACACAACATACACACCACGACCAATAAACTTTTTCTTCATTTTCATTTGTTTACCTCCCTAGCAAACATTACCTGTTTTGTGGACCATCACCAACTAAATATTCAACAACTCTATCCAAAGCACCTCGTTCTCGTGGGAGAATGGGTCTTGCTAAAGGTGGACCCGGAGGATGAAGACCTATTAGATAAATAAATACATAAAAATTTACATGTATAAAATACATATAGATTTTCATTCAGTTTACCAAGAACTACCTATGTTTGTCACAACTTAAACAATTTTAACAAAACAAAAATAACATTTTATAAATCTCTGTAGAGCATTCAAATTTTCATTAAAAAGACTGCACTACACTACAAAAAAATTTATGTTTAAATATGTGCTATATCAGAACTACCAGCATAATCTATTAAGACATAAACGATGGCCTGGCCAGCATGGCTCAGCAGTTGAGCATCAACCTATGATCCAGGAGACTAGGATTCGATTCCTGGTTAGGGCACATGCCCGGGTTTCGGGCTCGATCCCCAGTGGGGGGGGGGTGCAGGAGGCTGCCCATCAATGACTCTTTCATTGATGTTTCTACCTCTCTCTTTCCCTCTCCCTTTCTCTCTGAAATAAAGACTTTTTTTTTTTTTAAAAAAAGACATAAATGATGTTAGGTTCTGTACAAACTAATCTTTTAAATGGCCAGACTCTTAAAAAGTGTATGTAATAATAAATTAGGGAATTCCACTTTGGAGCATAATAGAGTCATAGGGGTCATATTTACCTTTCCACCTAAAACAACTAAAATACTGTGCAAAATATATGATGCAACAATTTTAAAGACATTGGATATCAGGAAATGTAGGATAAAGATCTCTGAGAAACAAAAAGCAAATAAGATGAGCCGCACAACTGCCCCAACTTGTTGCCTAGAAAGAATTTCCAGGTAACAGCTTAGGGAGGGTAAACCCAGATGACATAAATCCATCTCCCTGAGAGGAGATAAAGCTGAAACTCTGAGGAAGCCAAAGCAGCTTGAGTTCACAGGTAACAGTAGAAGAGAGTGCACAGAGCAAGAACACCAAAGATAGGAAGATATTCAACAGAGTACTGACTGCCACATGCATGTGAGGAAACTACCTGAGGACAGAGAAAACTGCCCCAAAATATTTAAAGGTAACAGTAGCTCATATGGGGCCCAAAATGTTGCATATTTCTACCAGTCAGAGTGAAAAACTTCATAACTCACAAGTCACTGGTTAAGTATTAGGAGGAGTTTTGTATAGGAATATAAAAATATCCCGCACCCAAATAAGCAGAAAAATGCAACCCATAATGAGAAAAATCAATCAAAAATGACCCCAAAATGACAGAGATAATAGAATTAGTAGACAAATATGTTAAAACACTTATGACTAACATTCTATATGCTTGAGAATCTAAAGGAAAGATTCAATGTTAAGTAGAGACATGGAAAAAATTTAAAAGACCCACACTGAACTTCTGCAGATGAAAACTACAATGTCTAGGATGGCAAATCCACAGATGGGATGAATAGCAGTTTGCACATTACAGAAAATTAGTAAAGATACAGTCTTTACTTTTCATTTTTAGTAAAACACTAAAAATATTTTTAAATGAAAAAATCAGCAAGCTGTAGAACCTCAAGCAGTCTACTCTAATATACATATTATTGGAGTGCAGAAGAAGAGAGAAAAGGAAAAGAAAATATTTGAAGAAATAAAATTTCTTCCAAATTTCTGCACAAAATTTTTCCAAATTTGATGAAAACTATAAGCACACAGATCCAAAAATATCAACAAACCTTAAGCACAAGAAACATAATTTTGCAACAAGACAAAGCATATTCAAATTGTTTAAAACTAGAGATAAAGAGAAAATCTTAAAAGCAGTCAGAAAAAGATACATTGTATACAGGCAGACAGAGATGGGAATGACAGCACATTTCTCATCAGAAAAATAAGCAAGGCAGAAGACAATGAAACAATATGTTAGGAGTTCTGAGGGAAAACCATCATGTTAGAATTTCATATTAGTGAAAAAAGTCTTTTAAAAATGAAGGCAAGGATGAAGACTTTTTCAGATATACAAACAAAAAATTCATCACTAGAAGAATTTCTCTACAAGAAATGTTAAAAGCAGTCTTTCAGGCAGAAGGAAAATGACCCCAGGTGAAAAGCTGCATCCAAAGAAAAGGGGAGTGTCAGAAATGGTTACCATGTGGGTAAAAATACAAAACTTTTATTTTTAAAATATTTTAAAAGATAACCGATGGTATAAAGGAAAATTGATGGTATAAATGAAATGTATGACAAAACAGCACAAAGGCCGGGGGGTGGGGGGGGGGTAAGTATGATGTTGTTAGATTCTTAAACTATATGTGAACTGGTACCCTATCACTTGCAAATAAATTATGATAAATCAAACATATATACTGTAAACCCCAAAGCATTCACTAAAATCACACACAAAAGCAATATAGGTAATAAGGCAACAACAAAAAGTATAAAATGGAATTATAAAAAAAATACTCAATCCAAAAGGTGGCAGAACATGAGAAGAAAGGTAACAGAACAGATAGGACAAATAGAAAAAAAAATAGCACAATAAAGCATTTAAACTCAAACCTACACATATCAATTATTATATGAAATGTATGTGGCCTGAATATCCTCATTACAAGGCAAAGGCTGACAGAATGAGTAAGAAAGCAAGAACCAGCATATGCGGCTTACAAAAAAAATTTAACATAAAGACCAAATAAGTTAAAAGTAAATGATAGAAAAACAAGAGACAACACAGGAGAAGGCACTGAGAAAAAAGTGGGAGGATCAAGTAAGATATGATGCTGGCCTTTGTAAAATACGGCAGGATGAACATAAGAGCAAGATGGGCAGCAATGGAGATTTACATGGAGACCTCACAGAAGCCTTTGAGACAAAATGAGCCTTGTTGGAAGAAGCCTTGCAATTCAAGGATACAAGGTTTTCAAATTGACTATGGCAAAAACTTCAAAGCAGTCAAGACAGGCTTTTGGGTGGGAATATTATATTAATATTTTAAAGATTAAGATACAGAAATTTGCTTTGTAAATAATCACAGACCTAAAGCCTGTTACCAACTTTTTAAAAAAGCAGATGTAAAAATTATAGCTATTAGTAAATAAAATTTAGGTTCTAGAAAAAGTTCTTAGTATTACAAATCAAGTACATTTTTCTGATTTTATCAGATATGTTATTTGGTTTTTGGTTTTTGGTTTGTTTTTTAATCCTCACCTGAGGATATTTTTTCCATTGCCTTTTCAGAGAGAGTGGAAGGAAGAGAGACAGAGAAACATCGATGAGAGAGAGACACACCCATCAGTTGTCTCCCGCACACGCCCCGACAGGGCCAGGGATTGAGCCTGCAACCGAGGTACATGCCCTTGGCCAGAATCAACCCCAGGGCTCTTCAGTCCATGGGCCAACGCCCTAACCACTGAGCCAAACCAGGCAGGGAGTTATCTGTTTACTTGTACTAACAACATTCAATCATTATCATAAAAAAATAAACTTCAATGCAGACATTAAGTGTTATCTCTTATTATAAAAATTTCAACTTGAATAGCATGCAAAATTAGATTTAGAAAGCATTTAAGCCAACTTAATTTTTGCTGGAATATTTACTTCTACATGTTTAAAAAGGGAAATGTCCATAAGGGAATCTGAATACATAAAACAACAGATTTCATAAAAATAACTTAAAACCCATACATACTTAGTAACTTTTAAAATAAACACATTTTCATATTCATACTGTTAAGGATAACAGTAATTAATACAAACATAAAGCTCAATCACTGTAGGAATACTGGTCATTTTTATACAGCTTGGCAAATTATCAAGTACCTGCTGCTTATTAATTTTCAAACATATGGGAGCCCTGTGGTAATACACATTAAATTGATTCTCTTCCACTAATATGGCATAATGAAAAAATGAATTATTAATCTTCTCTATAAGAAATCACTTAACTCATTCATATTTTTGGCAAAGTACAACTTAAATACAAAGTCTTTTACACAGAAACTAATTAAAAGCTTTAGTAAAATATGTTATATTGACATGATCATGAAATTTAGGCCATTATTCCTTCTAACCCTATTCTTATATGTGCAATACAGTTTTTATTACATTATGTAAATTGCTAAACTTTTTCTTTAAAACTAGATAACATAATTGTATATAATACATGTATTCTCACAAAACAAGTTATTTCATTAAACAACTAAGAACTTTACAAATTATGGATATCTCAAATCAGATAACTGAAAGATAAATAATTTTCAATTAATTTTTCTCAATTTCACAAAATACCTTAAGGAACATCACTATATGTCAAGTTTAAAAGTACTTTTTCAATAACTGTTTTAAAAGCATGACTTGTATATATTTTATTTGCAGCCAAATTTCTTAATGTTTATAAATTAATAGTTTTCTAGTTTTCTAAAATTTTACGCTTTTTTTGAAAGAAGAGCAGGGAAAACAATCTACTGTAATATTAACATTTAGATTGCTTATTGATTTTATTACTTAAGTTCCCTGAATACCTGACATCAACTACTGACTAGTCTCAAAATCATTATAAATTATGTTTGTAATTAGTCATAAAAATACCAAAATAATCTAAATTAAAATTAAATACCCTAAAATATGATCTGCTAATCCAAGTCCCAATCACACCTCAAAAGAAAACTGCAGGGTAATATAATCTATTACACTCTGAAAACGGGATCTTCCCCTAGTGATCTACCACACTAAAAAAGAAGAATCCAAAGGAATGAAATAGTAGTAAGGAAAATATGTTAATTTAATGGACTTCATGCTAAATTATCTGTCAGAATATACTAAGGTTCTTTGGCTTGAAAAAAAACAACACTTTAATACCAGTCCACATTAACAATGGTAGTATTGTAAACCACAATAAAGGAATAGTCTTTCTGAAATACGTTAATTGTGATGTTTAAAAATGTATGTGAAGGGTGTAGCAAAAAGCATAAATATATTCCAAAAGTGTTCTCTTCTATCCTCATTTTAAATAAATCTGAAGCCATTCTAAAGCTGAATATAAAAAGATATGCTATACTGTTGACTACAGAATACTACAAAGTTTTATTGCCATTTAAACAAAGAAGCCATAACACTTAAATGAGCTCAAGAAATAGGTTTCAGTATCACACGGTGCCAGCTGTAAAGAGTTATGGCTAATTGAATATGGAACTCCTGCTTAATCAGATAACTGCTCTGCTATTTCCAAATGAAATGCCATTTCCATACTGTCTGAAAATGACCCGTTTTATTGGTAACCAGAGAAAACAATATAAACTGTAAATAACATTAAGTGCTCTGTTTACCCATTCCAGGCACTGAAGTAGCAGGGGATCCAAGACGTCTTGGTAATACATTTGAAGACAGGGCTGGAGTAACGGATCTTTCTGGGGGTCCACCAGGGGCTGAAGTGTCCTTTGCTGATCCAGGAGATACTGGACCTTGTGGAGGAGGGCCCTGGCTAGCCCTTGCTGGTGTTGGAGAAAGGTTTCTTTGAGCTGCAGTGCGCTGACGAATCTCTGAGAATAAGAATAAAAAGTATATATATTACATTTAATATCCAATAGGCATTAGCCAATACCACAAGTATTACTTACATTTACTTTTGTGACACCAAAAGGCATCTGTAGGGTCAAAATTGCTTGTAATAAGAAATCTATGAAATTTAACATTGAAAACTGACTTTAACAGAGTACTACATCTCTGAACCTACAAGTCAACTGCATATATTTTACATAACAAGCCTTGATCTCAGTCTATCTGCTCATATCACTTTTCAAAACAAATTCAAATAAAATAAAATCACCACCCAATTATGTGTCATGTCTTTTACAGTAATCCTTAATTTATGATAAAGGAAAGTTTACCAGAATTAGTGAAAACTGCAGATTTGTTTTTCAAGATAAAAACAATGGTAACTCTAAGAAAAGAGTAAATAAGTATATTATAGAATTATCAAATAATTTATGAGGTAACTAATCTAAGTCATCAAAGAAATGCTGTAAAAGTATTCTTTACTACTAGGTACTTTGCCCATTCTCCTTTATACTACTGCTATCATTTTAGTAAATTTTTTGCCAATATATTCAATAATGGAAAACTTCCCACTCAGTATAAATAATGTATCACCATAAATAAATCTTAAATTTAGTTGCAGAAATTACAAGATTCTCTGTAACGGGTTGACAAAAGTGTCACATCCAGGCTGCTGCCTCTTTTAATAGTTTTACTGAAACACAATAATGCTCTTTTGTTTACACAGTCTATGGCTGCTTTTTTAAAAAAAGTTGAGTAGTTGCAACAGAGACTATATGGCTCTCAAAGCCATTTACTATATTTACTATCTGGCCCTTTACAGAAAGTTTTATGATCCCCTAACTCGATAACATAAAATTCAATTCTATCATTCCCCATTCCCACCAATACCTTACTTGAATGCAGTGGTAACATCTCAAATAAAGAAGCACTTAAAGCTTTTTAATTCTACATATCACATTAATTATAAATCTTGAAACATACTGAAACTAAAGAAGTTAAATTTTAATTGGCATGACTGGTAAAAATGCACACTTCCACAAGCAAAATATTTTAGATTTGGAATTTATTTGACAGTTAAAGATTGAATTCATTGCAATCAAAAGTACAGTTTTAGCATCAGACTTCAGTTTACTACAATCTAATCTACTAGTTTAAAACCTAGGCTCTGTGGTCAGAAAGGTTTGGTTAGAATCCTGGCTGTTGCTACATTACCTAGGATGTGTTAACTTCACTAAGTCTATTCCTAACTCACAGAATTGTTATGAAGATTAAATAAGATAATATCTGTAAATTGACAGCTCACATTTATTGAATACATATTATTTCAGATGACAGTGTTTTCACACAATTAAGTATTTTCAAATGACCAGTTAACTGTAATTACTGGGGCCAACTAATTTTCCATTGATTCTTAATGTAGTCTCTAACCTAGCCATTGCAATAATAAATTACAAGCATGTCATCATTATATAAATGGAACTGTCTTTATATTTGGCTCTTTTCCATGCAACTTACATAGAAAATTTCAGATTTTGCTTGGATTAATTGTATCCTAATATCTCCTGCAAATTAACTGGTCACAAGGAACTCACAAGAAACTTATAAGGAGCTCATAAGGAATACCTTAAAAGGTAGTTACACATTAGGAAAGCTATTAAATGCTACAAAAGGTACAGAGATCAATAAAATCAGATTAAGATTGGTCATCTAAATTAATTTTCAAAAACAAGGCATCAAATATTATAAATCATTTTTAGCTGATTTTCAGATAAAACCACAATTTAAAACATGACATTTTCTTCCAGATAAAGTTTAACATTTATTAGATTATATTAAAAGTAGCTATTATCTTTTTACTTCTTGAACAAAGAACTGAGGCTGCTTCCTCTAAATGTGCATTTACCCTGTGAAAATTAACCAAAGCACATTTTTAACATCACTCATGTGCTACTGAAAAGTGAGGTTTATAATTAACTGGTAAGCAAAGAACACCATGTCTAGCATTCCATAAAAGAAACTTGGTATAATAGTTTCTAAATTTAAATTTAGGCAAAGACTGGAGGAGATGTATGATATAGAAGTCAGGAAAGGGAGAAAACAGTTTCATTGTTTTCAAAGGAAAAGGAGGTAACAAAGACAGTATGGGGATTACCAGATGGAATGGAGGGCAGGGGAGGTAGAAGAGGGTATAGTGGAGATAAATGGTGAGGGAAGGAGACTTGACTTTGGGTGGTGAACACACAAAACAATATACAGATGATGTATTATAGAATTGGACACTTGCAACCTAGATGATTTTATTAACCAATGTCAGCCCAATAAATTCAGTAAGAGTTACAATATCAAGTTAAAAATAGCTAGCGATACAATCTAAATCTATACTTAGTAAAGTGTTATGAAATATTCTGGTAGTCTCAATTTAAAATATCGAAGATTTGCCCTGGCCAGTGTAGATCAGTTGGTTGCAGCGTCGTCCCATATACTCCCAGGTCAGGGCACATACCCAAATTTTGAATTCATCCTCAGTTGGGGTGTGTGCAGGAGGCAGCCAAGCAATGTTTCTCTCTTACAGTGATGCGGTTGGTTTTCTTTCTCTTTCTCCCTTCCTCTCTCTAAAATCAATTTTTAAAAATCAAATAAAATAGCTAAGATTTCTCAACTTTTAGCCACTTGCTACTCACAAATGCCTTGTATAATTACTATTTCAAAAAGTTTCTAGTACTCAACAAAGTAGTCATATTGGTTATATTCAACATTTCCTGCATTTAAATATAAAATGGCATCCCCCAGAAAGATTTACCAAGCATTCCACATCAATCTGGCATAGTATCATAAAGAGTATTCCATAAGGTCAATTCTTGACTGGCAGATGTTTTAACATCCTTATCAATGACCAATCAATGACTGAATAAAAATTACACTCATTGAATATAAGGACATCTATATTTTTAAATTCATAATGAAACAAATAAAATCAAAATAAGATTTAAAACTACTGTACTATAATAAACAAAAGGAAGAAAAGTTTAAAATAATGATAAACAGGACAGTTGCTAAAGCACAGATGCCAGGATCAAACTGCTTTGATTTAAATTTTAGCTCCACCCCATTTATTAGATGTGCATGCAGCCTTTTCCTAGGTGATAATATCTCTCAGTTCAGCTTCCTCATAATGAGAATACTTACCTCTTATGGTTTTTGTAAAGATTAAATGAAAGCAACACAAAGAGCTTAGCCAGAGCACAGAAAAATTACTTAATAAGCAATAACTAGTAGAAGTAGTATCCATCTAAAGGTTCCAGAGATTACAATAAATCAACAGCTAAGGAACCTAGAATTTCTAAATCAATTATTAAAACACAAATATTAATTTACAAATTAAATGTTTTTGTAAAGTTATTTGTGAACTTAAAGTGTAAATTCACAATTTATGTAAAAACTTAAATCTATAACCCTAGCTTGCTATCAAATAATTCTTGAGATAAATGTGCTATAATACAAATAACTACCTCTTAATTTTATCAGATTTTTAAGTATCACTGCTTTACACACTGGTAAAAAGTTTTGCATTTGTTTTGGTATTAAGCTGTGGTAGGAGGAACACCATACAATATTTAGGAGGCGTGGATTTTCATCCTAGCTGATAGCACCCATGAACTAAAAAGTTTTTTTATCCACTCTGGGTTTCAAATTTCTTTAGAGTGTTCGCAGACCTACAAACACAATCCTCATATTTTCCTTAGTACTGGTCAAAGGCTTTCTGAAATACTGTGTAGTTCTAAGCTCAAAAAAAATTTTTTTCAGTACATTTTAGTAATGAGAAAAAAAATCTTTAAGCCTGTGAATGATTCACATATGCATATGTGGGAACTTAAATTTAGGGTGAATTTGGCTCTTTATAAGTATGACTGAGATGTAGTTAGGTGGGGTATGGGGATACATCTTCAGGAGAGCTTCTATTTTTCAGTTTATATAAATTTAGGTTTCATTGTTTAAATTTACATAAATTCCTTTAAATAACCAAAATAATAAAGACCATGTACCCGACATCTCTTCCTTTTACTTTCAAATTTTTCTAGAGTCTACATTCACTATATGATCATCTTCAAATCCTACTCATACCAAGCTCCTTTAGATAAAGCTTCTGCCCTACTTCTCTACTGAAATTATTTTCTCAATAGGTTGATGGCTTTTTATTAACAGAAATGACTCCATAATATCCTCCTTCCTATAGAAGCAAATCTTTTTGAAACAAAAAAAACTTCCCCAGCATTTCACTCAACACAACACAAGCTGGGTTTGCCCTCCTTCATAGCTACCACAGTATCGCCCACCACTGGGAAGCACCATTGCTTCGGTTGCATCGTCATAATTGTTATTAGCATAGCTGCTGCTCTTTATCAAATCCCTACTATCTGCTAAGAATTTTACCAAGTGCTTCATGTGAGTTTAATAATTTATGTAATATTAACTCTTTGAGATAGCTCCTATCCTCAGTTTCGAAAGAAACCAAAGCTCAGAAGCTAAATACCTTGCCAAAAATCTCACAGTAAAGTAAGAGCTGGAGCCAAGATTCAGTTTTTATGACAACAATGCCTCCACTCTGTTATATAACCTGTCAGATGCAATGGCCTCATTTGTTTTCTACTTACTTGACTCTCTGCAGACTGTGACAGTGATGTCATCTCTACTACACTTCAACTTTTTAGATGCCAGTTTAGTTCTGCTTTTAACTCTGCTCATTTTCCTGGGCTCCTCTTTCTCCATCTATCCTTACATATCAATGTTCCCTGGGGTTCTGCCATAGATCCTCTTACTCTATTTTCTCTCCTTGGGCAATTCCACTCAATCCTATGGTTTCGATAACTGTTGCTTATACTTTCCAATGATTCCTAATCTGTACCCACAACCTTAACCTTTTTCCTGAGCTCCAGATAAAATAATCAACTTCCTATAAATTGCACTACTTGAATGTAATTTCCACTCAACAGATCCAAAAGCAAATTCAGTATTTTCTACACAAACCTACTACTCCAATTCTTACGTTCCTTATCTTGCTTAAAACACTAACATCTAACCAGTTACCCAAGCCAAAAACGAAGGCAGTATTTTGACGACTCCTCCCACTCCCCACTTACCAAATCTGATTGCCATAGAGTCCTGTCAGTCTACTCTTAAATGTGAATTCTCTTCAATCTCTCCCTTTTTCAACTCCTTCACCACTTTATCTAGCACAGGCCTTTATCCCTTACCTATGTTAAATGATATCCAAACTGATCTCCATGTCATCAGCCTTGCTCTTTCCAATCCATTCTCCATGTTACAAAAAAAAGTGTCCTTTCAGAAATGCAAACTTGATCTAAAATGTTCACCAAGGTCCCACTGGTAAATTACTATTTTATAACATTTAAACAAAAATCATGAATTTAAAAAAAGTTTCCTTTTATTTTTTTAAGCTCAACACATTTACTAAGCAACCATTATGAGTAAGGCACTACTGAATGGGATTCAGAGCTACATATAGAGGTGGCAAACAAAGATAATACAAAATTACAAAATATACACATGCAAGGTAAGTGCCTTAATAAAGGAACCAACAAAGTACCATGGAGAGTTCAAGAAGGGGAAGACTAAACTCAGTGATGGGATGAAGAAAGGGTTCATAATGGTGGCATTTAAGATGAACACTGAAAATAGATGGGGATAGAAATGCCTTTGTTAACTGTATTAAGGTACATGTGGCAGTTTTAAAATAAGAGTCCAAAATTGTTTGATTTGCCTCATGTCAAATGGAGGAAGGAGAATGTAAATGTCCCTTCGCTTGAATCTGTGTTGTTACTGTTTGACCACAAAAATATAGGTGTGCCAGTTTTTAGGACTACTTTCTACCTCTTGAGCTGCTTACTCTTAGAACCCAGCCACCATGTTAGAAGCAAGCCCAAGTGACCCCATTAGAGAGGTCCATGTGGAGATGAACCAACAGCCGGACCAACCTGTCAGCCTTGTGAGTAAAGCCATCTTGGTGACAGATGCCCCAGCTCCAATCATGCAGCTCCAACCATAGTGAGGCAGAGATGAACTGATTTACCACACCTTGCCGAAATTACAAATTCATGAGCAAAGCAAATGAATGTTGTTTTAAGCCACTAAGTTTTGAGGTAGTTTGTTACACAATAGATAACTGTAACAGTATAGATATGATACTTAAGTAAAGAACACCCAAAAAAGAGAATTTACTATTTTATAAGGTGTTTTCCAGATTTTCACCAAAAAAACCCACAAAACACCAAAATATGAAGTGCCATTCCATTTGCTCTCAAGATCAAAAAAGACTAATGATTTCTACTTTGATCTTCCCTATATGCCATGGAACACAAGTGAGTAAACTCTAAAAACCTACTTAAATAAGAAGTTGTAATCTATTTGCTAGAGCCATTAAATTTTTCTGAAATACTTACTGATTTCAAATTTAGCTGTGGAAGGATACAATTGACTTTTCTTTTGTTAATTTCATTAGTAGAAATGTAGTGTTATATACACAGGTAAAGACAATGTATAGGTGGCTTCCTTTTTAAAAAAATATAGAAGGATCTGTTAAGAATTTATTTTAGCTATTGAATGGCATCCTCCAATATTATTATCAGTATTTCTACTTCAGTCATTCACTCCTATCTATAGTCATAGTCTAGTCCTATATTCTTGCCATTAAGGATAACTGCACTCCTCTCAAGTTCAATCATCCCACTGTTAAACCACACTTAACTTTCCAGCTATTTTGTAAAGGGTCAGACAGTAAATATTTTACATTTTGTTGACCATATATGGTTTCTGTTGTATAATCTTATTCTTCTTTATTTTTTAGAACGTTTTAAAAATGTAAAACTAATTCTAAGCTCAAGAGCCATATATAAAAGAGATTTTGGCCCAGATTTGCAGGCTATACTTTACAGACCCTTATATTAATACTACCAATACTTTCTGACTGTCCATCAGTCCTCTCTCATGTGCTTATTTCCCTCATGATCATCTTAGATTTCATAATACAGTGTTATAATACCTCCCTTGCATACAACTTCACCTCCCTGCCCCTTGATCACTTTATCCATTCCATTAGGCAAAACCTCAGTCTTGGTTGAAGCCAACTCTGACTACTCTGTGGCTGGTACCCACACAGCTAAACACAACTGGAAAACACACATGCTTTAAATGATCATTAACTTCAAGTGGATGTTAGTGTCCCCCCGGCATTCCTACATTTTCCTAATCTATTTACTCTCTTACTCTCCTAGAGAATTATTTTATTATACCTTCTCTTCAGAACTCCAACATCTTCCTCATCCTCATTCTCATAAATAGATAAAACCAGAAGAGAATTCCTACCACCTGCCAATATCTTATCCATGTTCTCTGTCTTCCCTTCTTACTATAGAGGAACTATGTACACTCCTATCAAACACCAACTCCTCCACTTGTACCCTAAATCCCATCCCTTCTTGCCTCAAGGACAGTTTTCCAACAATTATCCCCACTCTCTCCTTCATCATCAATTATTCTGTGTCTTCTAGGCCATTCCCAGTAGCACACAAACATGCTATCATTTCTTTCTATAGCCCATTCACCCATACACACAAATGCTTCTGCCTCCAGCTACCCATTTCCCCACTCCCTTTTACTCAAAAAAAAATTGTCTCTTCAAATTGTCTCCAACTTCTCTACTCCCATACCTTCTTAAACACACCCTAATCAGGCTTTTGCCCTCATTCTTCAAGGTCACCAAGGATCTCAACATTGCTAAAAATTAATGGTCAGTTATTGACCCTCAATTTGCTTGGCAGCAGTTTTTGTCATGGATGATCACTACCTTGAAACACTCTTTTCAATTAGCATCCAAGACTCCACACCCTCCTGGGTTTCTCACCGACCATTTCTTTCCAGTTTCTTTTTCTGGTTCATCTTCATTATTCCCAACAGCTTAATGTTAGTGTGCCCTAGAGCATCCTCGGTCCTTTTCTTTCTCCACATTTACATCCTTGGTAATCTCATCCAGTCTCATGGTTTTAATACTATCCACATACTAATGGCACCCAAATACATATCTCCAGCCCAGATAATTCCTGTTTGCCAGACCTATACTCAACTGCTTCCTTAATATCTCCACTTGGATGTCTAATAGGCATCTCCAACATACATGTCCAAAATTAACCCTGTTCTTCACCACCTCACCTCTCAAAAGCAGTTAATTCCAATAGACCTGGAAGAGCCAGGAATAATGGAACAATACACTCCAGAATAAATTTTCTTTTAAAGGTTATCAGCTTCTTAAGGTCAAAAACCATATTATAATCATCTGTTTATTCTCCATGGTACCTGCACATAAGTTATTTAATACATTCTTTTAAGCGAACAATTCATTTATATATAGCTAAATGTAAATTCTCCAGAAAAGACTATTTAAAAGCAGTGCCACAGGAATCTAAGGCAGAGAGACTACCAACAACGGGTTTTGTTGTTGTTTTTAGCAATGGTTTTTCTATACTTATGACATGACATAAGAAGGAAAAAGTATATTTGAATATCAAAGTTTCTAAGGAAAAATAAGTTTAGCTTCTTGAAGAAACTTATGTTGCGTAAATATTAATAAATACTTAAGAATATCAGTAAAGGGAATTATACATCTGTACTTTTTTATTAAGAGTGAAAAGAACAGATTTTTTTTTTAAAAAGTAATTGCTAGCAACAGCTTTCTGCAAAATATCACATTTAAAAAATACATTCACTAAGATTATTTAAAAAGCATTTTTTGAAAAGTTAGTCCCAGTTATACAAAATACTATAAAAATATAGAAACATAGCCTATAGGCCAAAAAAAGTTTTTTATAATTACTAGGAAGAAGTATAAATTGTAGAAAATTTAAACTGATTATGAAAGTAGGAGTTTCATTGAAAGTATCTATGTCTATTTTAATCATACGTAAACTTTTACATTTATCAAAAGAGCAGGGTTATGTTTCTAAAAACCAAAATCCTACTTATGGAATTATGGGAGAGGGTGGGATTCTTCCCACATAGTTCTGCCAATTAGAAAACCTAAAACTATAATGGCTTGTTTAGTATACATAGTCTTTGTGGACATTAATAAAAGAATTGACTTCTCAAAGTTCTAAATGTCATCCTAACTTTATAAACCAGGCTACAATTCTGATGATTTATAAGAATAAATGTTAAAATGTCTAAAATAGTGCACTTCTATATTTCAACAAAAGGTTTACAAACTATATTATTTTATTCTAGACAAGAGAACAAAGAGGGAAGCCAATGCAAACTCAAAAATATCTTTTCACATGCCAGTCTTGGGAAAACTGTATGCAACCACTAAAAATAATGACATTTTAAATTTACATAATAATTAATAACATAATAGTGATGATTTCACTAACAATCTGGCAATATAACCTCCAAAAGAAAGAGTTAATGTTATTATATAGCAGTAATTCAATTTTTCTCTCATTTCTAATTGTATTCTCTTCCTAAAAAAGATTGTTATGTTAGAAGAAATTCAAATTTGACAAAAATCTTCATTAAATTTACTTCAAAAATAAATATGTAAAAATTTTCTTAAAAACAGATATTCCAAGAAATGGGGGGAGGGAAACCTTACAAAATATTGGTGAAATTACTTAGATTTCAAGAGATTAAACCAATTGTATATATTTAGTCTCAATAGATAATATCTTTATTTATCAACATAATCCTGTAAAATCAAAATGAGATAAACTTATCGCCATCACTCCAACTCATTACCAAATTACCAAATAAAAATTAACACAAAAGCATTCTACGTTTTTATACACCTCTATCACACTTTTGAACTCACTTGGGTAAATACGGATCTTTCCAACAGCAGCAGCAGTTTCTACAAAGTTATTTACCTTGTCCAGGTCTTGCAGTTACAGCTGCTCCAGCAGATGGCGGCTCAAACTCCTGTCAATTACGATAATGTTATTACAGTGACCTATTACAATGTGCAATTTATAATAAAATAGTAGTGATATCACAGCCTTACCTTTACTTTCTTTGAGTCCGGATCAAACCTTTCAAGAATTAATTTAGCTGTTTTATAAGTTTCTTTTTCCATGACTTCTTCAAGCTGTGAACAAAAATTTCCATAAATTGCTACATTTTAAAACACACACTACTTATTTTATATAAAAGTCCTATTCAAAAGTGTTCAAGTATAAGGCTTAAAATAAACAGCACATAATATATCCAGATAGCATGAAAGACTTCCTACATTCAAATAATTAAAATCCAGATTTTAAAATGACTTCTAACCTCTAATACGTTACTTGTATTTAACAGCTTTACTGCAAGAAAATACCAAATATTGCTAATTGTTTACATATAATGAGGAGAATAATTACATGCACCAACTTCAATAATGGAATGTGCAAAAATCTATCAGCCATCATTATTGGAAGTTATTAGACATGACAAGCAAATGACAGGCAATTCCTCAGATTTATTTCCTCATAGCACTTAATGCTATTAATTTAAAGAAGGTCGTTAGCCAAGAGCTTTACAAAATAAAATCTCTGTGCCAATTAACTGCTGTCAGCATCGATTTTAGATTATTTATTAGCAGAAGCAATTAGCTTGCTGCAAATGCAGCGTACACTCACTAACTGGAGAACAGCCATGGCATTTGCTCAAATGGCTTTAAAAACTAAAGCTCCCCCTTTTTTACTTAGATTCAAACAACTTTAAAGAGAAAAAAAACATGAACATAGTAAGAATTAAAGTAAAATTTTTACTGAGTTCTATGCTCACACTAGGGACTATAATTAAAATACTTCTTTATTATAGCATTTTATTTACAATTCACTCAAGTCACTTTATGATTTAATACATGGGTTTAATTTTAAAAGTAATCACTAGTAAAGTATCATTTTAGCAGTTATGGCCCAATATCAGAAAAGTTTAACTTTAGCACAAGACAGTCATAGTTATGACAAATAGCTAATGTGTGGAATAAAATGCTTTTGCAAAAATTAGAATGGGAACTTTTCCTTCTCAGTTACCACTGATAGCCACTTGGATTCATTAACTGTCATATTCCAAAGGACATTTATTTTAAAATGCAACACAGAACACACATACCAAGTTAAAAATACAGTTAAAAATATGTTGCCTGAACAGTAATTAATAGATCCCTCATTAAAAACTCAATTTAACATTTAAGAAGCTAAGTGCTTAAATGAATGATTAACCTTGGTTTAGTGAAACTAAAACATTTCCTAATTATTTCAAAATTGTAATAAATTCTAAAAACAAGGACAATTTTATTTTCTGATGTAAAGGAAATATCACTTTAGAGTTGGGGAAATTTGGGAATGAGGTTAGAGAAAGGATATATGATAGAATATATCCCCAAACCAACATAATCTATATGGAATATCAAAGAATTGAATCCCTGATCTCTACAAATTAATTTTTCATGTTTTAGACCAGTGTTGTGGCAACAAAACTTTACATAGTGATAGAAATGGCTTATATCTGCACGATACAGTAGCCAGTAAGCCATATGTGACAAATGAACACTTAAAATGTTTGTACAAGTGAGGAACTGAATTGTAATTTTAGTCCATTTTAAATAATGTAAATTTTAAAAGCTACTTTGACCCCTGGCTGGTATGGCTCAGTTGGTTGGTCATCATCCCATACACTGAAGAAACTTTGCTGGTTCCATTTCCAGTCAGGGCACATGCCAGGGTTGCCAGGGTTGCCAGGGTTGTGGGCTCAATAACCAGTAGGGGGCATGCAGGAGGCAGCCAATCAATGTTATGCCCTCACATCAACATTTCTATCTCTCTCCCTCTCTCTTCCTCTCTCTCTAAAATTCTATTTAAAAATCTAAAAAAAAGGTGCATGGAACTACTGGCTACTGATTTGGACAGCACAGTTCTAAACTAAGACTACTGCTAGGTTTAAAAAGATGATTAGATACTGCTGTGATCTTTAAAACAATACACAAAACTCAAAACCAAAATGTCACTTCATCAAATGATTGTAATTCCTGGTACATCACTCAACAAATATTCATGTTTATAGCCACGTACATGTAAAGTATCTTAAATAAAATCATTTTTAAAAGCACTAAAAGATATAAATCCATTCTAGTTTTCTTTTCCATTTACTTCCAGCCAAAATTTTTCACATAACAGCTTAATTAAACACACTTATCTATACAACATTTTAAGTGAATAAATTGTTTTAAATAGATATTCTGATCAGTGGAAAGAACATAAACTTGAAACTTTAGAGTCAGAAAAGACCTGTGTTAAAAGTATATCTCCATTCTTAATCAGCTAGAAAGACTTTAAGCAAGTCTGTTAGCCTCAGTTTCTCTTTTTTGTAAAACAGAAACACTAAGATTTTCTTCATAGCACTACTGTTCAATTTAAATACAATAATGTAAGAGTCTACAACAGTACCTAATACAACAATACATAATCTTCAATGATTCCTCAATTATTCAGAATGGGTCTGAAACAAGCAGTTTCCAAATACCTAATATATTCATACCAGGATTCAGGAGTAAGAAACTGGATTCTCAGAATTCCCTAAATTATAAGTTACTCTGTATTTTTCACAATAGTTAATATATTTTTAAAAATAATGAATGATATAACAAAGAGTGAATTGTTTTTCTATTATATGGTTATACTGGAAGTTTCAGTTTTTTATTTAAGAAAATAATAAATATGTGCTTATTTATTTATTGTGAATCAACCTTATTTTGACAAGGTTATATATTTTAATAATATGTAACAATTATTTCTACCTGGTACAGACATTTCTTCATAGAGCACACCAAAAGGAAACACTAACACAAAATAAATGTCAAAAACTTTTTTAATTTTGAAAGATAATTCTACACATTTTAATATTTAAATTCTTATTCTTGAAAGAAAATTTTTAAATACACAAATTATTAATTTCCCTGTCCAACACTCTTGATTTTTGTTTCATGACAAATATCCCAAATATACAAAAATCTCTTTCATTTTGCATTGACTTTGGTCAAATTATTAAGAGTGTGGGAAGAAAAAAAATTAAGAGTGTGCTCAAAGGCATCTTCCATTCAGAGCATTAGGGTACATGTTGCAACTTTTAAACTCATTTTTACAACAATGAAAACACTGTCTGATTTGGGTTTTGCTGTTGAAATCTATTATTTTGACTAATTCAGATTCTATATCATTTTCTGATTTCATATAGGAGTATTTCACAATAATAGTCACATTTTCTCTCTCTGCATTTCTCTGTTATTTATAAAGATCTGTAGTGCATGGTGAATATTCAAACATTGGAAAATGCCAACAAACATTAGTGGATAATATAAAAATGTAACATTTGAAACATCTAGTGAGGTTAACAACGCTACACAGAATCACATGCTGAACTTGTCAATTTAAGGACATCCTTTGCTTCCAAATTTATTTCATGGAATATCATTTGCAGGATTTTGTATAAAGTAGACTATATGTATAAACTTATTAATATTTATTTGTGAGAACAACTCACCATTAATAACAGGCCCATAAAATATACTTATAACATGGCCACAAGAGCAAGACTGACTGATTAATTAGATTGTTCCACTTCTCTTGTACATGGTCCTGTCCTGTTCCCAGAAATGTCTACATTAATCTACAGTTCAGCATGTCAGCATTTCTTCCTCTTGTTTTCAAGTGACAATAGCGGATTCCTTGAACCAGTAATATTTGTAGTTGACTGTTAAGCTTAAATTCTCAGAGAACTATAACACTTCTTCCCATGTTCCCAATTTCTCAACTGATTTTTCTCAGGATGTTGTAAATTTCCTGAGAAATGCCAGAAAGGAATTACCACATAAAAATACTACCTTGGAAAAAGCACAGCATTTTCATGAAGCCACTTAAAGAGGTCATTTTGACTCATGTGTTTTTTATCTTGACTTTGAATTGTTTTGATAGGATGCTCATAGATGCAGAGGGATTATGTATTGAACAATGGTTTTTAAAAAACAAAGATTTTTTTAAAGACCACAAAATATGTGAGTGGCAAAATATACAAATCCAGACTTGGAAGTCTTTAGAAAACCAAAGATTAATTCCTAGCTTTATTTTAATAAGCAAAGACTTACATTAAGTTCTTAGATTTAAAACAATGTTTAAATGTTACTCATTTTCCTTTTTAAGTAATTTAACTTCTTAATCAATTGATAATTCATGTTCATTGTTGCAAATTATACTTTTACAAATTACATTACAAATCTATTCATATTAAAGAGATGCATCCCTAAGAAAACCACCTTTAATAAAATGTCAAGTAGTAAATGTAACTTGTATTCATTTTGTTAATAAGAGAGATTTAGGAATTGGATAATTTTAGACTGATAGTCATTTTCCTGCAGGCATTTCAACAATAAAAGTATTTTAAAGCTATAAATGTAGAGTGTAAACTTAAACATAATGAACAAGATCAGTTTTGATTACAATTAGCTTTTGCTCAAACTAATGTCCCCTCTTTTTCCTCTTATTACCAGCCCAATCATTAACTAGCCCTGTGCCACTTGCTAATTCACCCTTAACACCTATTGTTCTAAATAAACTATAAAGCCACTCAAACAAAAAGCAACTTTGTTAAGGGCTCAAGCAATAAAGACCAGGAACTAGTTCCCAGTAGCAATAGTATTATAACCAGCAAGAGTCAAGTCAATATAAATTGTGTTCCCTCACTGATAAAATGAGTCAGAACAGCCAACTTATTTTTCTTTAATCATACTGCAAGAAGAATGCCATACTAAACTATTCTATAATGCTGATCCATTTCAGTGTTCACGACTATTGAACCCTGAACTGAATTTCCCAACTGTCAGGCCTAGATAAAGCATCTTTTATGTTGTGAGTCCTTCAAGGGCTAGTAAAGAAGTAGTTAAAGAGCTTGCCTTTCCCTTTCACAGAATTTTCCAAGTCTTCTCTGTTACTCTATTGAGAGTTTTTCCCCAATCATGTTCTCCAAGATTCTGTTTTCTGATGATATGATGCCACTAACATGGTTTCTCATCACTTAGAATTTTTTATTTTCTTCTGGTGTTTTTTTTTTTCTTTTTTCCTGTCTCCCTCCCTGTCTTTTCTACTTTAATCAATATTTCTCCATTTTAGTACATATAGGGCTTGGCTCTGACCACCACTGCCAGCTCTTTTTATCATATCAGAAAACCAAACCAATCATATCACAATTTCTATCTTACTGAGAACCATCAGTATTTCCTCACTTTGGTCTTTTTCTCAATTAAAGTTTACATTCAATATTATTTTGTATTAGTTTCAGGTGTACAGCATAGTGGTTAGACAACCATACTTTACAAATGTTCTCCCTGATATTTCCAGTATCCACCTGGCACCACACATAGTTATTACATTATTGACTATATATTCCCTATACTCTACTTTACATCCCCATGACTAATTTGTAACTACTAATCTGTACTTCTCAATCCCTTCAGCTTTTCACCAGTCCCCCAATCCCCCTTCCCTCTGTCAACCATCAGTCTGTTCTCTGTATCTATGAGCCTGTTTCTGTTTTACTTGTTAATTTATATTGTTCTTTAGATTCCACATGTAAGTGAAGTATTTCCTCACTTTGATTTCTGGCTGCTCCATAATGTACAGAATGCCAGAAACATAATACAATATAATGAAAATATTTGTTTCAATTTAGGACCACGAAAAATGTTAACGCAATTTTGATAAGTACCTCATAGAACACTGAAGAAACATTAAACAAAACAGATAAGAAAGCCTTTCAGAAATAAAGCTTCTTTATTTTTCAGGCACTTAAAACCCTCAAGACCAATGTCTTTTATTACCAATTCACAGAACAATTTTTAACATTAATCTTAACTATATTAATTTTATTAGTTTCATACATAATTGTTACATATTACACATTAAACTAAAATGTATTAATCATTTGCATCTAATTAAATTTTATTAAATAAGTTTTCATATAAGATGATAGTGCTATCAATTGTCATTTTCATACCTCAAAAATAATTACATGAAAAAAGTACATCTAAATTCAAGTCAAAAGCCAAGTTCAATTCACTTATTACAGACTATTATATATCAACCTCTAAATATCTAGGGCCCTTTCTCTTCCTCTTGGCCCTCCTTCCAGCATATCTGAAGGATGCATTTAACTGGCCCCACAATAGCTACCCAGTAATCAGAGTTGCTAATAGAAAATGAAAGAAATCAAAGGAAAATAAACTCTTTCTTCCTTTCTTTAGTCTTTTCACATTAAATTTGTCTTTTACAACCAATTTTCTTGATTCCCTCTCTCTTACCCTTCTTCTGTCAAGAAAACCTAAGAACTGACATATGTAAATGTTTGGTCCTTTTTTGGCCCTAATCAATAATCAATCTGGACACCCATTTTTTTATCCCTCTGCCTTAGTTCTCCAATATAATTCATTACTCACTTCTCAGCTTTCAACTGACACAGCTTCTCAGGATCTCAAAAGTCCATTTACCTACTTTTTCCTATCAATCATTATTAACTAGCAAAAATACTCATAATTTAGCTTCAGCATTAAAATGGTATCTAAAAGCATATTTGTTTCTTAGAGTCAATACTTACAACATATAAACATTAATTATTCACTTTTTGATTTATTACTTTTATATAAATTAACTTTAAATAAAAGTTAACTTACTATTTTTTTCTTCTGGGATTTTAAATCATCCAATGCTTCATCTAGAAAAAAAGATTTAAATCAAAGCTAAGTCAGATATTAAGATACTTAGATTTAAGAAAAAATCTCATGCCAAATGATACACATTAAGCAACTGCAAGAAAACTTAGTATTTCTCACCTATGTATACAGATAAAAATTATCTGTCTTTATCCACATATATTTCTTATTTTGCCTATACTATATATTACAAACTAAGTAGAGAAAAAAATTGCCTTAACATAGACTACAACACCTTTCCAAATTTAAAAATATATTTAATATTTAGTTTTCAGAAACATTACTATTTCTCCTTCCTTTCAATATTCCACCTAAATTTATAAAATATCAAATCTTTTTATACATTGGTAATAAAAATTTCTCTTTGTTTATAAGGAAATAAGTGCATAATATATTTTATTAAGTTATTCAGCCTTCAAGATATTGAGCACTAATAAAGAAAATCTTTTGCAAATCTATAGTATTATACCTGAGGAGGGACTTGGAAAGGAAGAGAATACTAATCACTTTTCAAAATTAAACTTTTCAATGATTTGTCTTCTTATTTAGGTTGGCATGGTGAAGAACCAATTCAAAAAATGTCAACATCTGCTTTACAAATTTATTTTAGGTTTCTAGTTTTCATCTAAAAGTATTTAACTAGTATAAATAGGAATGCTATTCCAGCTGGAAAGAAGAGTCATACCTTTATTTAAACATTTTACCAAAGAGAATTTAAACTGTTCTTATTTTTTAATTAAATTTATAAATAAAATTATCTCTTCACTGAAGTTCTAGGGTAGCAAACATCTGAACATCCAATCCAAAGTATATTATTTTGATTTTCCTCTTGATATTTGCCTTTTATCATGTCATTACTGTATATGATAAATTAATCACTTCCAACTGAAGATGAGTGAAAGCTCCTCAATTGTACAGTTAAATGGATTTTGAAATATGGAAATTTCCTTTATACTTGTGTGAGCTCTGGAAAAAAACTGCTGAAACTATAGTTTAAGCTCAACAATATATCTGCTACAAATCTGCATGGACTGTAGATCTTACTTCTTGTTTTAACTTTTCATAGCACTTTTTAAAAAATTGTTTTGACATTATGATGTTATTTGTTTCCTAAATGACTTTATGGCAATATAGGTTTCACGTATAGGACTGTCTTGTTTTGCGATCTTAGGTTAATTCATTAAGAACCATTATCAAGCTGCAGCAAAAGCTAATTTCCAAAGCCAGTCAGCATTCGATAACATAGTGGTTGAAGGTGGTTCTCACTCAGAAAAATTTCAATCTGGGCTCTGAGCTCAAAATATCACAATAAAACTTTACCACTGGTAAGCCATCAAACTGCCGTGTGGTAGAAGAGGTCAAGATATTCAGCCTCTACTCCAGATAAAAGTTCATATAACTGATTATGGTTAAGTCTGTAAGAGCACATGAAGCTCCCCACTGCCACTACTAGTTCAACAACGCGTAAGTTCAAACATGCTCTGCAAAGTACCTGTTGTTGAATGACATAGTGAATAACCATAGAATTCAAGCACCTTACAGTTTCATGAGCTTTGCGAATTAATCCAACTGAGCCTCTTTCTGCTTCACACATATTTTTACTACCAAAAGTTACGTATTAGCAGATTCCACTTTAGGCTGTACTGAATAAGTGTGTGTTTTTCAACTTCACAAAAATTCTCTCCAGTTGTTCTACAGACTTTTCATAGAGGCTAATTCTTCAGCCAGCTCAAGCTCAGCACTGACTCCTCAAATAAACTACAATTGAGTAGTATCTGTAACATCTGTCAACTCAAGAGCCAAGGAAGATCATCTGCCTTGTTTTTAAACTGACTATGTTGCTTCCAATGTTCTCAATTCTTCAAGCAACTGTTCTAGCCAAAGATTACTAGTCAAACAAATATATTTTCTCTGAATATGTTTCTTCAGCTGCAGCAATCAAGCAGTTTAATTAATTCGCCATTGGTAAGTGGCTTTCTCTGCTTCACAAATAAGGCACTCAGAAATTTACTTTGGTTGAATGAAGTTCCATTTTCACTTTTTATTTTTATGAAGAAATTTTGCTATGATGTGATATGCCATTTTAAATGTTCTAATTTCCTGACCATTGCTTTTCCATGAGTTGAGAATATCGTGACAAGTACTTAGGATAGTTGTGCCAATGTATATCTGTATTCTTTTAGCACAGCTATAATGTCACTGCATAATAAACACAATGCTTTGAGTTTTGATATTAAAATCTATACTCCACTGTGCCCTAAAAGTGCAACATTCACAGTCCAATTTTCTTTTCTTGTTTTTACATGATGAGTATGCACTGGTAACAAAAAATAAATTGTCACAATACAGAAATACAGGTCGCACTTGAAATATTGTCAAGTTAGAACTATGTCACTGTGATTTGTTGTGCATGCTGCAACAGTCTGAAGGGTTGGGAGCACCAAATACAGTCTGTCACAACTACTCAATTCTGCCATTGTAGAATGAAAGTAGCTATACACAACACAAATGAATGGGCACGGTTGTGTTCCAATAAAAACAGAAATTTGAATTCCATACAAATTTAACATGATACGAAATATTATTCTTTGAATTTTTTCAATGATTTAAAATGTTAAAACCATTCCTAGATCATGAGCTATACAAGGACTTGGCTCATATGCTGTAGTCTGCCAACCCTTGATTTAATCTATACTAGGTTTAATTTATAAAACAAAGGATATAAAACTAATAGAGAACAAAAAGCAAGAACACAAAAATACCTTCAAGCTTAAACATACATATATATGTATGTATATGTATAAGTATGTTATGTATATGTGGTACCTGACTTTATGCTAAAAAAATGTGTAAGACTACAAGACAATCTATTATAAAGGCTATTTTAAATGTACATGCAATAAATTTTTTAAGCAATAATCCTCTTATATAATAAAAGGATTGTGCCTGATGTGCCTATTTGTAAGTTAAAATACACATCTGGATGAAAGAGAAAAAAGCATATATGGTACACTTAACACCTGGTGAAATTAAAATATGCTTAAATATACAAAAATTCACACACTTGATTTCCTTAGAAAAGCGTTCCCAAGGACTCTTTTAAAATAAGTTTTCTTATATTTTTCACTATTTTTAGTTCCATTAGATTAGAGAGCATATTTGCTTTAAACTTCTTACTATCCTCCCAGAAGCTACTATATTACTAAACACTACTGGAAACAGTACCATAAACTTAATTTCCTTAATCTGATTTTTTTTTTTAAGTAACAATATTTTAACCACATCAAATATTCTACTTAATGGTTAATCAGGAACTAGACAAGGATAGCTGCTATCCCCACTTCAATTCAATATTATACTGGGTCCTAACCCATTAACTAACGCAAGAAACATTTTAAAAGAGTAAGGATCGAAAAAGAAAAGTTAGTACCATCATACCACGTGTATATAACACTGAGCAGTGTTTATATGCATTTACATGTAGTTTTGTTCAATTCCCAGTCAGGTCACATACTTAGGCTGTGGGTTCAATCCCCAGTTGGGGCGCATATGGGAGGCAACCAATCAATGTTTCTCTCTTGCATCAATGTTTCTATTTCTCTCTCTTCCCCTCTCTCTAAAATGAATAAGAAAACATATCCTCAGGTGAGGATAAAAAATAAAAAATAGACTGGTTATAAAGCCATTGTAGCAATGACGATGACCTGAAATAGAACTGTAGTAGTAGTAAAGGTTAGAAGTGGTAAGATTCAAGATAATTTTGGACGTAAAGATAATAGTGCTTTGAAAGGGAAAGAGAAATTCATATTAAAGGGAATATGGAGTGAGGATAAGATTTTCCCCCCTAGATGACTGCACTGAAACAGGATTATATGCTAAGAGGGAAAATCCAACAGAAACAGATGATGCAAAAGAGAGGATAATTCCAGGAAAAGATAACTAGAAGAGCAAAGTTCTTCAGATGCCCAGAGTACCTAGAATCCAGGGCATAAAAGGAGGGCTTAGCCATATATGGGATCAAAGTCATTCTTCCAGAATTTCATGAAGGTCGACAACATACTGAGTAACAGATGGAGCTAACGATATATTTGGTGGAGGAGGTAGCTCCCATCTGTTTACATCTATTTTCTCCATAAAGTGAGACTATCAGGTGATAGTGGCCAGGCAGATTTTTGTGGAGTTTTGTTTGTGACTTTTGAATTTTTATTTGGTTGGTTTGTTTGTTGATTAGTTTTATTTTGGTTTTGTCTTGGGGTTTTGATAGGGAAGTGGGCATTAGTAATTTGAGGAGAAATACAATCTCAAACAATGTTCTCAAAGAGGGAAAAAGTGAATCTACTAGGGAACTATAAAATAGGACTGTGTAGCAGTGTTGAGTGTACATTGGCATTTGGAATCATAGATATTTTAAATAAGTCCGGTCAACATGTTGTATGATTTTCTTCTCATAAATTTAGCCCTTCTGATGCAGGCACAGATTAAGCATATAAATGTTTTAACCAGGATAGGGTTTTGCCAGTCATTGATTAAGCATATAATTATATTTAAATAGGGTATGGTTTTGCCAGACAAGTAGACTGCGAAAGAGGGCAAAGGAATCGGAAAAGTCTGCAAGGGATGGTCACTGGGCTAGACCACAGAACCTCAATGGGTTCAAATAATGAGCAAGGAGAGCAGTTTGAAAGTCATATATCTGTATGACCCTTATTTGGATCCTGAGTCAAACAAACAAAATATTTTTAAAGCATATGATATTTATGAGATAACTGGAAATTTAATACTTTCATATTTATACTTTATGATATTATAAATTCGTTTTAAAGAAACAAATGAACAAAATAAAACAAAAAAACCTCCTAGATACAGACAAAAGATTGGTGGTTTCCAGGTGGAAAAGGGGCAGGGGAGAGTCAAATATATGGTTAAGGATGGAAACTAGACTATTGGTATCAACCACACTATAGTGTATACAGATATCGAATTATAATGGTGTACACCTGAAACTTACGTTATTACCCATGTTAACCTCAGGATTTTTAAAAAATTCTTTTTTACCTGTTACAATGTAGTGTTAATTTTTTTTCAAGTCTGTTATAGATAGATATATTGGGGATATACTTCAGAATAACAGTACAGAAGGTAGATAAGTAGGTGGGGGTAAAAATGAAACAAGATTGACTATGAGTTGAAGATTGTTTAGGCTGTAGGATAGCTATATGAGGGTTCATTATACTATTCAGGCTATTTGTGTGTATGTTTGAAATTTTCTATAATGAAAAGCTAAAACAAGAAAGAAAAAGTAAGTCACACACATTTTATTAAAAATTAAATCTATGTATCTTTGGTTAATTGTAGCTCATAGTTTTAAGACCTGAAAATCCTCAAAATCTGTATACATAAAGAACAAATACAGACCATTTTATTATAATTTACATATTTCAAAACATATATAAAAACAAAAGCCTACGGGCTGTGAGGTTAAAGAGAATGGTGCAATTAATAAATCAAAAGATGTATAGCCATATTTTACTCCATAATAACATAAGTTTTCTGTGAAGATTAACAAATATAATTTCTCTTGACTTAAAGAAATGAATTATTTTGTTTTGTGTAAATTAAAATTCTAAATGAACAAGACAGAAATAACACAAATGAAAAATAGAACCATCCTGATCATTCATAATCCTTCTTATGCTTAACAGTAAACAACTCTTCAATATTTACCATGTTTGTCATTTCAATATACCATTTCATAACCTACCATTTAATGACAAACCAATGTACTATGAGTTTTCTAATTTATACAAACTTAGAAATTAAACTTACTGTTTCTTTCTGTTCTCTTGGAAAAGAAGAAAATAAGCACTGTTCTTATGCACCAGATGCTACAGAGGAGGCAAAATTCAGAAACAAAAACTGTCATTAGAATAAGTAAATTAGAAGCCATATAAAATGAAAACAAATACACGTTTCCAATTAAAGTTAAGTCCATTGTTTCCTTTCATATGTTGAAAATCAAAAAGTACTCATTTCTTTCAGAGACAATCAGAAGTCTACCTGTGCTTTCAAAGGAGTTCTCTATCTAAAATCCATGGACCTTGAGGGTCCTCTGAATTGCAAAACTGACTTTCTGTATATAAATGCATTTCTCTGGAGAGACTACTGCTTTCATCATTCATAAAGGGGTCAATGAACTCCACAAAAGATTAGGAACAAATTTTAGAATCCCTTCTTACTAAGTAAGCATCAATTACAAAAATTTATTTATTCCCATGCATTAAGGAAAAAGCATGTTTTAAAAATCCAGAGCATTATACAAATTTAAGTTGCTACTCCTTCCCTATTATTTAACATTGGAGCAATCTTCTCTACTAATAGAATAAGCTATCTGGAGGGAATAAGCTATCTTACCTTAAAATAAACATTGATAAGTAAATTTAGCTAAATACTTCCTTCCAAAGATTTTATGAGGATAATTGTTTAAACCTTGCATTAGTAAGCCAGTAAATGATACTAAAAGAATTTAAAAGAAAATCAAAGAATGATCCTAATAACAACGTTATCAAGGTCATCTTTTAAATTTAGTGTAAATATAGTAAAATATCTTTCTCTACAGAACATGGCAGAATAAGTATACAAACATTATTCATCATTTTATAAAAGAAATACACTGTATCTGAATATGAATTCAGATAAAATATAATTGCTATTCTTGGGAGTCAGGCTGCAAGTGAATCCTATCTCCTGGTACTCGCGTCTTTGTGAAATCCTCTCTCATCAGTGTTGATCTGTGTGACCAATGGCATATAGCAGGAGGGATAGTATGTCACATCAAGATTAGGTTATAAAAGGCTACAGCTTGCATCTTGGGCCTCCTCTGCCACTCACAATCTTCCTCCTTCTTGGATTACTCATTCTGAGAGAAGCCAGCTGCTATGACATGGGGACATTCAAGGAACTCTATAGAAATGCCCATGTGGAAAGGAACAGAGGTTTCTGGCAAATAGCCAGTGAGGAGCTGAGGCCTGCCAACAACTACATGTGTTAGCTTAGAAGTAAATTCTCCAGCCTTAGTTCAGCCTTGAGATGATTATAGGCCCAGCCAACAACTTAAATGAAACTTGTACACTCTGTACATGAATAAAAGACCCTGAGCCAGAACCACTCAACTAAGCTGCTCCCATATTCCTGCCCCTCAAGAACTGTGAAAGATAATAAACATTTGTTGGTTTAAGCTACTAAATTCTGGGGCAATTTGTTACACAGCAATAGATAACTGATGCATGCTTTTTATATTGTTAGAATTTGTATGATCTGAAAACAACAAATAACCAGCACCAGTTTCCCACATGGTACTTGAACAACTACCTAAGCACTGAAAAACAAAAACAAAAACAAAACTCTGAAAGTTGACCTTATCGAAGAAAGAAGATGAGGGAAGAGGTTAAACATAATGCTTATAACCCTCAAGGATCCTACAAATAAAAAAGTCCCACAATGTTTCTCCACTTCAAACATTGAAATAGTGCCAAGCTGAGAGAAACGATTTAGGAAAAAAGTACAAGAAAACAGGGAACACAAAAGAAAGCACAGAGATAGTGACTGGAATTCTGTGGGAAATCAGTACATTTTCTTCAACAAGTAGATACTTTTAAAAAACATGTAATTTTCACCCTGGCCAGTGTGGCTCAGTTTGTTGAGCATCATCCTATGCAATGAAAAGTCATCAGTTTGATTCCCAGTCAGGAGGCAACCGACTGATGTTCCTCTCACATCGATGTTTCTTCTCTCTCTCTCCCTTCCTCTCCCCCTAAAATCAATAAAAACGTTTTTTTTTTAAACATATATACTTTTCAAAGTGCATTAGAAAATTGAAATAGACTCCCTTACTTCAAAATAAAACTCATTAATCCCCTGTGGCAAACAGTAAATTCTCCTTTTGGTTTTGATTAGTACTGTGGGAGAAAACGAGCTATCAAATTTCCATGTGTCAAGTCTTCAAGACTTGAAAATGTAGAACACATAAGTTATTCTTTAAGGCTAAGTTAAATAAAATTCACTGACATTTTAAAAATAAAATTTAGTAAAAGAATCAAAGTACTTCGGGAATCTATGATTTAGTTATCCCAACAAAGGTCTTCCTCTCTAAATAAATATAACTTATGACAACGTGGCACCATATTTTGTGAAGACATTAGAGATACCAGTACTGACTCCTACTTTGAAAACAGTGGCATAATCAACATGTCCCCCTCCTCTTCTAGAAATCATCCAAACAACGAGGACAAAAAAAAAAAACCCACAAATTCCTTTTCTGGTAAAATTAAAATACAGCTAAAACCCAAGCCCCCGAATATGTGGAAGGGCTCCAAAGCAATGGAGATCCTGCAGGGATTCAAGGGTGGAAGCTGAGAAGAAAAACTGTTATCTCACAAAGAGGTAGCAAGATAAACTTCTCAAAATGTAAAGCTTAAAACCTTTTTTTATCACAATGAAAATAAGATATACACGCTACAGGCAGAAACTCCTCAGTTTGGTTCCAACAATGACACAGAAAAGGCAGAGCATAAAGAGAAATCATTCATTCTTTCTGGCAAACTTAAGTGCTCTTTTTCCAACAACCACATAAACCCTATCCAATTTTTTGAAATGTTTTTAGGTGAAATTTAAATACTATATAAAACTAAAAATGAAAAGATAAGTAGGTCTCAATATTTATAACTACGTTGACTATTTTGTCTGTTTATTTAACTATCAAAGGCTTTGAGAATAACCTTCACATTCAGACCAAAAAAGAATGATTTATTTTGGTATAAGGAATAAGGCAGGAATCAAGCTTTACATTTTATTTTTATCTATTTATTTTTTAGTATAACTCCACACCATTTCCCCCCAATGATTTGAAATGTCATCTCTATCATATATAGAAACCATACATAAAAATTCCTTTAGGATTTGTTTCTGGATTCTGTCTCTTTCTTTGGTCTGTGTCTCTATCTATACACTGTACCAAACTTTTAATTAATGAAGTTTTATAACGCATTTGATGCCTGGTAGACCTCTGCTTCTCATTCTTCTCCTTTTTTAGAATTTCCAAGACTATTCGTACGTGCCTATTTTTCCATTAAAAATTATAGAAGTATGCCATGATTTTTAAAGCAGTTATTTTTATTGTGATCACACATTTTTAGATTAATTTAGGGAGAAGTGATCTCATTGCTACATTGAGTCTTCGCATGCAATAGGATGTGTCTCGTAATTATGTCTCAGTACATAATTCTTTAAGTATAAAATTCTATCAAGCGAATATCTATCAATATTCAAACATTTATCAATATTGCAAAGGGGATGCTTGCAAAATGATTTTTTTACCTGCCAAAGTAAATACAGTTGACCCTTGACAACACAGGTTTGAACTGTGTGGGTCCACTTACATGTGGATTTTTTTTCAATAAATTGTACTTTCTCCTCCTTATGATTTTCTTAGTAACATTTTCTTTTCTCTAGCTTACTTTAAGAATACAGTATATAATACACATAACACAAAATATATGTATTAATCAACTGTTTATGTTATTGTTAAGGCTTCCAGGCAATCGCAGGCTATTAGTAATTACAACTTTGGTGAGTCAAAAGCTCTATGTGGGTTTTTGGCTGCACGGGGGTGGGGTGGGGGGGTCATTGCCTCTGACCCCCACGTGGTTCAAGGGTCAATTGTATTCTCTTTGAGTAAATATCAGGAAATGTTCACAGATACCTTCTCCTTTAAGAGCCAACTATAGTTGATGAGAGATACTTTGTATTCTTATTAGAGTGCCATGAAACAAATGTAACTTTCTTCAAAAAGCTACAGATTATCACTTCTCAGCCTTTTGGCTAAGATCAAGCAAAGTACCTGTTCTTATCTGTGTAAAAGGCTACAAATTATGTTTGTCAACTTTCTAGCTGGATTGAGAAAATATCTGTTACCAGCTAGTTGGGAGAAGGAAGAGTGTGAAGGAAGCATAAAAACCATAAAAGATCAAAGCCCTATCCTCAAATGGCAATTTACTAAAATAGTGATTTTGAACCAGTATGCCATGGCACATTGGTGTGGCACAAGAATGTTTAAAACATGCAACTGTTTAGTCAGGGGCACTGACCTCTTTTTCCCTTACACTGTCAAGTAAAAAATGACAACAGCCAACACGACAATAGCAGGCTGGTGTGAATAATAAATCAAAATTACACCTTTTTATTCTTGTCGTATCGGCAAAAGATATATTTTGGGGGGTGTCACAGAATTTTAGTAATTAGTTTATGTGTGCCATGACATGAAAAAGGCTGTGGTAGAAAAACAAGAAAACATACGAAACAAGGCCAGGACCACCTTACCTTCCTCAGTTCCTCTGCTTAAAATTTCCCCCCCAAAAACCCATTTAAGAGGCAAAAAGAAGGGGGGAAAATAATCCTCTGGGAAGGTCAACATTTTATGCTAATTGGTTTCTGAAAGGATCTTACAGTGAGCAAAACTTCTAGAAAGTTATAATCTGTAAGAACAAGGTATCCAGGAGTAAAAGTCTGTAAGATCGCTTATAGGGTCTGTTAAGATAGAGACAAAGCTTAATGGTTGTTGACTCTTAGAAATGAACCAACTCTCAAGGTAATGCATATCTTCCTGCATGATGCAGAAATACAAAAATTTAACTGTAACCCATATCTTCCCTCACTGAGCACAGCCTTAATGACTCCTATGAAATAAGTTCAGCATTTATATTATAATTTCCATTTCAGTAAGAATTGGAAAGATCAGACATACAAATATATTATTGAATCTGAAAGGCAGAAAAACAACAGGTTGAAATCACAGCAAGTTCCTCCATATTACAGTCTGAAAAGAAGCTATAATAAAATCTCAAAGCATCTTATGTAATGTATTGATAATCTATCATAAAAGATAATTTTGTAATATTTATGATTATGCAATATATGCTTAGCCCTGAATCCATGACTTCTCTGTCCAGTAAAAGCATTTAGAAAACTTGGACTGCAGAGACAGCAGTCACTTTTTGCAATTATTGAATAAATTTCTAAGCTTTGCAATCCATGTAGGCAGTGATAAGTAAAGAAACACATTTTATTACTCCTTTTGCCTCCATTTCTTTAAGTAAACCCTGGTCCAGACCTCAAAACTTTTATGCCCAAAGGAAAAAAGTCCAGGGATAAGCTTGGGCAATACTCACAGTATATACAAAAAAAAATGTCTTTTGGTAAGTCTTCCTTCTATCTACCACAACATGCACTTTCACGTTGTTGTATTTTATTTCATGCTTTTTGATTGTCATCAATCAGAAGGACAATTCTATTCTTTGTTGGGTAACTGGTCTATGCTTCCAAGAGTGAAAAGCTTACTGAAATAGAAGCTGCAGCAGTTGAGAACCAGGTCACAGAAGTGAATGAGACAAAGTGAGAAATGGCTCTGAAGCTTAACTAGCCAAGAAATACTAGATGCAGGTGATGCAGAACAGGCACACAACATAGTAAGAATAATAAAGGTTGATACTCAAAATTGTAGAAAGATCAAATTGAAGAAAAACAAACATTTTTAAAGAACTGAATTTTTTCTATTTTTAAAAACAATTAGTATATCATCTATTTGCTAAAAAAAAGGTCTTCTGAATCAATAGTAGATCCAGTAGATCACAATTTGTGGGTAGCCATTAAAATGAGCACAGTAATGCTAATTCCCTTTCTAAATTTCTTTTCTCCCCTTTTTATGAAAAATACAAGGAAAACAAGAGAAAGAAACTTAGCGTTATAGAATCTACTACTATACCTACAACATTGTGCTTCTCTGTTCTGCTACCAGCACTAAAGTGCAAATCACCTCCAATCATCTCTCCTACATAATACCTAAAATAACTTTCTAAGTTGCTGCTCCAGATCCATTCTTATTCCCCTCTAATTTATTTTCCATACCATAGCCTCAATGGTATTTTTAAAATAACCATATGATCATGTCATATTCCTTCTTTAAAATCTTCCATGGCTTTCTATACTTTTAGATTAAAGCCTAAAATCCTTATCATCAACTAAAAGGCCCAGAAATATCTCTTGCCTACCTAGACTTTTCTCTATAATCCAGTCTTTGGCCTTCTTTCCGTTCTTTAAGCCTGCCATTCTCTGCCCTCCCTCAGGGCTTTCAAATATGCTGCTCCTTCTGCCTGAAACACTACCCACCATGTCGTACCACACTTCACACACATAGCCATCCTTTTGGTCTCAATTCAAATATCACTTCCTCTGGGAGCCTGTAGCAGGCAGAAAACTAAAGATAGCCCTCTCCTCCAAGATTTTAATCCTCTGGTTATACAATCAAATAGTAGTCTAGGTACTGCTGTGGAGGAATTTTGTAGATATAATTATTACAAATAATTATATTTGTAATTATTTGTAATTACAGCTGATTTTAAAACAGATTATCCTGGTGGGTCTAATATAATCTGTTAAATCCTTAAATAAAAGCAGAGCTTTCTAGGCCCAAGGGCAGAATAGGGAGTCAGAGAGATGCAGAAGGTGACCAATAACCTGACTGAGTCTGTAAGAATATTCTCCCCACAGAGATTCCAGGTAAGATTCCAGGACAGCTGAGAACCTTGACTTAGACCTACACAGGGAACCAGGGAACCCGTCAAGCCACCTGTCTCACCTTTACAACTCTAATACAGTAAATGGGTATTGATCTGTGGCAACAATAGGAAATGAATACAAAGGCCCTTCCCTGACCCCCATCTCCACCCCAGGCTGTTGAGGGCCCCTGTTAAATGTTCCCATAGCATTTGGCACTTCTCTTTCATAATATCCATCACACTTAGTACTTCATACATGCTGTCTAAGCTCTACAGTCAGAAATTTTGTACTTTTGTGTACTATACACCATTATAGTCCAATGTCTATGCAACTGGTAGCCATAAAGGTTTTTTGATTAATTGGACAAATTTTTTATTCTCAGAATTCTCAAAATTCTCAATCACAACACACCTTCTGTAATATACTATATTATAAAATATTTCTATCATAAGGGCCAATTGCTTTATAGCAGTGACTAAGAAGAGGGAAAACAAGTAGGATGAGTGGAATATATTCAAAGTCCCTGGGGCGGTGGTTCTTTTTGTTTTACAAACCCTCCCTCACTTGCCACTATTCACAATCGGAAATGTCCACTCCATGCCCAAAAGATTGCCATATATAGAGGCATTATTACAAATGTTACAGGGTCATATTCCTCAGGTACGTTGGATTGTAAATAAAGGCTTAAAACATCGTTACACTTTTTTAAAGAAATATTTTTTCAAACTGTAAAAACAAAGCAAATTTATTCAAGGATATTGCTTTTTTCCTAATTAAAAAAAAAAAAAGACTAAATATATTAAAACTATCTGGTCAGAAAAAGGAAAAGTCAACAAAAAGAACAATTTACTTACATTAATGGGAAAGTAAAAAACGGGAGTGTCATGGTAAGTCTTGCTGTAAGTTCATCAGGAAGATACCACAAGTATACAATTAAACAGGTAAACAGATAAAGAATTGAGGAGTAGAGAATTAATCTTCCAACCCATAATTTTTGTAGTCTCTGATTTTTTTCCCTAAATTCTTCCAATGCTTGAATTTCCTGTTAACAGAAAATTATTTCATATTATTAAATCTCAAATTTCATAAAGATATTAAAATGTTAACAAAAATTTTTCACATGACAGATTATGTAGAAAGAACTCTTAAATTTCAATGAAATATAACACCTTAGTATTTTAAAACAGAACATAATGTGAAAAACTAAAAATAAAGTTAAAATTTTTAAAAATGCCCATCTGACAAAACACTTTTTTAAGTGCAATATTGATACTATTTTAAACCTATCAAATTAGCAAAGATCAGAGGTATGAAATTAGCATCAATAAACAGTATTTGTTAAAAATCAAACAAGTAGTAATTCTCCTGTATAAGGTCTATACAATATCTGCCTATAAAAAAGAATTCATAAATATTGAAATAGTGATCTATACTATATTCTTTCAATCTATTCAAAACTCTCAGTATTCCCAAGGCATAACCATTTTTAATAATCATAGAAAGCATAAAAAGCTGTGAAGTTTGCAGACTAATAAAAATTGTTGCAAACTATCTTATAATCTACTTTATCCTATCTGTAACATTGATTTACACAATGCTGTACATCTAATTTCATTAAAACAAGCTCCATTACTTGACACAATCTTAAGTCAGTGATAGACTTTTACTTAACACCTAAAATGGATTAAAACACCCCAGAGGCAAAGAGCTTACCTTATCTATAGTTTCCAGAACTTCTACAGTTGAAGGTTTTGTCTGTTACAGAAATAGAAATAAGAGACAGCATTAAAACTTGTTACTGCAAATTTACAAACACCTCGGTTTATATAATCATAAAAGAACACTTTCATGCAAAATTGTTTTTTCCAGTGCTGTAAAGCAATACGTATGCCTGTTTATTTATAAATAAGATTTTGATTTAAATAAAAATTATAAACAGGACTACATAAGATTAAATAAGCATATTCCTACTTAACTTCTTTTTAGTCTAGAAGTACTTTTAACTCCGATAGCTCAATTTTTACCATTCTTACACCCAACAGAACATACTTTTTTTGTTTGTTTTTAATCCTCATCTGAGGATATCAAGAAAAACAAATTTTCCTCCAAGAAAAATTTTCTTAGATATAATTACTCAAAAAAAATTCATGTACTAAAGATTCAAGACTAAAATAGGTCTGATTTGCTATTGCTAACAGCTCACTTACAACTCTGGAGGTCAAAATCAATAGTCTTCCTTCATTCTGAATTCCTAAAGTACTTTTCTGAAGATTATATTTTGAAAGGGCATCTAAGAATATTTCATTATAGCAGAGCTTGTTTGTTAAAGGTGTTTTTAATACCACCTAGAATAAAAACCAGCCAAAATGACTCATACGACACTTCAGAAAATGTTTACCAATTATATACTCAACAGTCTAAGTGGGTAATGAATATCAATTCATTGTAGTTCCCACAAGAGTTGTTAACATTAGGTTGAACCATATGAAATTGCTATTTATGTAAGTCAAAGCTGTTGAAAATTGGCAATTTCATATGGTCCAACTTAACAAGAAAGACAAAGGAAGAATAGATAAATATGATCTTCAGGCAGAACTGTAAAAATGTTTTTAAAGGGGGACAGGAGTCAATATAATGCCAATCCAAAACACAGCAGTTCCAGCAATAGTTCAAAACTAAACTACGTACCAAGTATTGCTGGACTTCATTATTATGGTAAAAAGGAGTCCAAAAATAAGCAAAGTAATTTGTCCTAGACTACATTATCTCCTCTTACATTAGAGAAGAGCATTTATCAATGTATTTTATGTTGTCTGGCTCTAAAGTTGAGCTACCTTCCTCTAAAGCCTTAACCAATAAAATCAGACTGAATTTTTAATTGTTTAACCTATATTTCCTAAAAGTATATTTAGTGTGACTTCAGTAAATATTTGCAACAAGTTTGTTTGTTTGCTTATAACCCTCACCTGAGGATATTTTTTCCATTGCTTTTCAGAGAGAGCGGGAGGGGGTGGGGGGGGAGAGAGAGAGAAAACATTGACTTGAGACACACATCAATTGGTTGCCTCCCACACGGGCCCCACCCAGGGATCGAGGTAGTGCCCCTGACAGGAATTGAACCCGGTAACCTTCAGTCTTCGGGCTGAGGCCCTAATCACTGAGCCAAACTGGCTAGGGCTGCAACAAGTTTTAGGCAAAAAGATATAACCTATAAAAACATAAGTATTGTATAAAATACTAATTTCAACTTTCTTTCAAATAAGATTGAAATTTAGGTACTATGAGAAGAAACCAAGAAAAGATAACTATTTGTACATGAATACATAGAAATAAAAACAAATCATAAGTCAGGGTCAAATAATTCTGTTACGCAGAGACATTAGACACCTATATAGCAAGTAGAACTATTAAAGTCCAAATAAAAAACTAATTTATAAGAGAAGAAAGAAAAATTAGAGTCAGGGATAATATCAAACTACTACTCAAGTCTACACCACAAAGGAGACTTTCACAAATAGCTTTGTTTGACACTTTCCTATTAGACTAAAAACTGGCTGTAAAGAAAAATAACTTACCCTCCATCGAGAAAATAATCCACCCATCTTTTAATTGTAGAAAATGGGCACAATGATAAATATCATCAATTTTCCAAAGAAATTCAAGGCTAGAAATAAAAGAAGCATTTTAAAAATTTAAGTTACAACACACAGCCTACCCACTATAAAACTTAGATGCTGTAATACTGCTTAAAAATACTATAGAAGATTAATTTCTTTGGACTCCACTACTGTGAAATTTTAATTTAAACAGTCTTGAGATAGAGTCCATCTTTTAAAAAATCCCTTCTTCTAAGCCAGGACATCTTTAAATGTGAAGACAAAGCTGGAAAGGCTTTTTAATGGCAAGGTATTTTAGAAGTGTATATTCATACCACTTTGCAATTTTCTGTTCTTTTAAAGTAGGTCACCTGTATTGTTCTTGTAAGAAAAGTTTTACTATATTATTTCCATTCTACATGATTAAACTCAACTTTTTCTATCATTTAGCTGACTCCCAACTAATTATTTAAATTTAAGGGTATTTCACAATGTTTAGAATAATATCACCTTACAAGTAATAATAGAAATTCAACTGGATTTGAATAAGAAAATAAGGGTTTCAAGGCTACCTGTGACCTTGAGCAAATCACTTAATGTTTCTGAGCCTTAATTTTTCTGTAAGTTAGAGTTAATAATGCTACCAATTTTCACAGGAGAGCTTTCATTTTTACCATTTTAAAAGTAAGAAAATTAAGAGAAAAGAGGTTTAGTGATTTGTCCAATACCTCAGAAAAAACATGGCCAAAAGCCACTCTATCTTCAGACTTCCCATCTGTTCACTCCGGTCCAACACCCAAATAAGCATTTCTCTCTAAAACTGTGTTTAAGTCCCTCTCAAGTTAGTTGACCTTCACGTCAGCTACCTGTATATCCTCTTCATTTAGTCATTTTTCTATTACTCTGAAATGTATTATAATATTACCATATGTTTGAAAATGTATCAGTAATATTATATTCTAAATCAATTTACCAGTCAATAATTATATAAAGTTTTATTCTTTTAAGTTGAACCAGTGAAAATATACTTTCAAACATTTTTTTTAACCAGGTTATAGTTACATACTGACAATGTATAAGACTACTTCATTTCCATAAAAAAAAAAAGTTCTTACATTTTTTTAAACCATAAATGTAATAAAAAATAATGTCAGTACCAAGTAAGTACTCTCTGCAACACTATTTATAGGTTAGAATTATCATAAGCAATATCTACCTTGGACTTTTTTGGTTAGAAAAGTAACAAAGAACCTAATTATGAAATACTTTTACTTACAAAGGAATACTTTTACTTACAGACAGAAATAACTATAATCTGTCCTGAAATTTTTTGAAGTTTATAAATTTAATGAATGTTATAAGTCATATTTAAGTTGTAATCTAAATATTATTAATCCTTCAATATTAACTCCGTATTCAAATATCTAAAACGCAGTTGTAGGAAATCCAGGAACTTTAATGAATGAAAGTATAAATTTCTGAGTTAAGACATTATATAGATTTTAAAACCTTCTTAAGATGCTAAAAATAACCACCAAGAAAGGTGACTGGGGAGGGAAGATTCAGATGAACCACTTTAATTTGGTATTTTTAAAGTATATCCGCTATTTTGAAACTAATGTATAGTGTCTAGTTTTGTATACTACTGACCTACACAGTTTGGTTTGTAACAGTTTGTAACAGACTTATATGCCTCCAAGTTAAGTTTGTAGCCATCACAAATCAGAATTTTTAATATTTGAAGGTAATAACAATGATAATATCAGTTAAATACTTGGTAAGCACTCCCTAGCAGGTCCTAAAACAAATGCTTTACATGAATTTCATCATTTAGATACTACTATTGCTCCATTTTATAAATAAGGAAACAGGCTAGGGAAGTGAAGTAGTTAAGGCCACCAAAGACATTAAGTAGTAGAGTCAGACACAGCATTTTAGTCTGTTTTTTAAAACAACCAGTTATTCCCAATAACACAAAATCAGAAATAAAATATGCTTTTACATATTAGATTAAAATATTTATATATAAAATATATGAAAGCACCGCTGACATTCTCAAATGGCTGGTAAACAGAGACACAGAAGTGGAAAGTGAGTTATAAACACAAGAGACAGTGTTAGTATAGTGTATCAAGTAGCCCAATTCCTTCATTTGGTTAACTTTGAATGCATAAATATGCTTAGAAAAGATGTTGAATGATTTGCCAAAATTATGCAACTCCAGGTAGGGGCAGAACTGACACTAGAAATCTGCAAGCACTTTCTTTACTTGTTTACTGTATGTCACTTTTTAAATAAGTATAATATGAAATACATGTATAAAATTGCAATTAATACCAACTTTGACATCAATTATTTGCTTGGAGAATTGTTTTAGTGTTAATGAAACAAACTATGGCTTAGCCTTCCAGATCCCTGAAGCAGAGGACTGTGCTTTTCAATGTGTCCTCTAAAACAACATCAGGATAACAGTCATTAAATGCCATATCCATGCTTTCAAGTTCATAATCAAAGAACCAGTCGGCCCTCATTGTTCCAGCAAGTTTCCTATCACATTCTGGTATCTGTTAAGGATGTTGATTTACTATAATGCACATGTAATGTTAGTGCTTTCCAAAAGATATAAAAGTATAACAAAATTAATCAACTATTTATCTAAAGCTTTAATTTCATACCTCTTCTATTCTCACACTTTTTCCCTCCTTGCTATTCAAACATCTTAACTCCAATTCCTGTAGCCCATTACTTACTATGAAATCTTGGGCAAATAAGTTACTTACCCTCCTCAGTTACTCAATAACTTCATCTGCAAAGGAGGGATAGTTAAGGACCCTCTTAAATGTTGAAAGGCTTAAATGACATAATGCCTTCTAAACTATTTACAACAGTGCCTGACCCATATTAATTTCTCAATACAAATTGCTATTTTAACTGCTGTGATCGCTGCTGTTTTCTAGCCCATCTCTGCTTCCTTTCAACACATGGAAATTACATTGGAACCAAATAACTAGCATTTCTTTCTGAAGCATAAATCAATGTGCTTGCCCTTGAGTGGACAGATGGCTCAATCTCAAGTGGCTTATTCCCAAGAACTCTTCCATGAACATGTACAGACACAGTCTCTTTCCACTCTGATATCACAATGGGACTTGACATGACCTTAAAAGCTAGGTGCATCTAACATGTTTTCAATGAATAATAACGCCCCCATATTATTTGGACGTTTTTTCTATTAACTGCAAGTCACACTCAGGTTTGGACGTCAGAATTTAAAATCTTGGGGCATGTTATTTTTAAATTTTCGGCTAATTTCAAGTCAAATTAAAATAATGGAGTAGAAAAGGTCTCTGTTCAAAATATGACTCAACCACATACTAGCTATGTGATCTTGGTTAAAGTAAATTAAACTCTCTAAGCCTCAGTTTAAGCATTTCTAAAATGGCAAAAATATCTATACTTCACAGAATTATTGCATGAATTAAATGAAATTATATATCACTTGGCACAGTGTCCAACAAACTTTAAGTGCATAATAAATTGTAGCCATTGTTATTACTATTACCAGAAAACACATGTAGTACAGACAATACTTCTAATATGGAACACATTTCTTTCTAACTTCTTATCAAGAAAAAACCTGTTTCATAATTTTCAAATTGAAAAATAAAACTGTAGTTTGTATTTTACTGAAATTGTATTGCTCTCATTTTTTCTAATATAAAAAATAAAGCAAAATATTCTGCAGACTATATTAAAATAACATGTTGGCCTTTTACAGCAAAGAAAGTTTAGTATGTTTATCAAGTTTAAAACTTAAGCAGAAACTATTCAATATCAATAGTACCTCTACAACACATTGTACTATTGAAGATTAAAAGTGATTTGTTCTAAAACTCTGACTTTCAAGTATCATAACTGAAAAGGCAATTCTGAAATATCCCAAACTGCCACATTCATTGTTTAAAAATAAAATTACTGAAAAGTACACTTCCCAAAGCACTTTCATTGTATGATGATTAGGTTCTAGTCTTCATGGAAAGTCAATGTTCATTCTGAACTAAATACTAACAAAAATGATTATCTGATTGGGAAAATTTCTTTATCAAGTTATGATAGCCAATAACTTCTTCCTTTTCTTATATTCTTTTTCAATTTAACAATATATAAACACTATGTAAGTTTGGTAACAGCACTGGACTGATCTCAGAGGATGACAGAGAAACTTAAAATCCTAATTTTAAATGCGTCACTCATGTTTTTAAAAATGTGTTCAAAATCAACTTGGTCCTCCTAAAATGGAACTATGGAGACAGCTGAGGACAAAAGATTAGCAGTCCCTGCCGGTTTGGACATATGCCTGAAACCAAGCCTGCTCACATCCACACAAACCCCTGTAGAAGAGGGTCAGTTTTGTCAGTGGTACATCCAGGCCACGGGGAAAGGAGAAACAGTTGACACTGGTCACCACACACCGGACGCCAACGAGGAAAAGCAGAACGTGGAAAACTCAGTGAGTCACAGGTTTTACTTAGTACTGCGAGGGAACCATCAGCAAAACTGAGTTCACCAATCCCAGTTCTCTCCCAATCCCCATACACAATATTAAAGAATTAAACTACAGATGAAGTTTCCATTTGCTCTCCTTCTGCCATGCTAATGA